GACATGGTGTGGGGACAACTGGGACTGTCCCCAGTCCCTGAGGGGCTCCCAGCACCTGCCCTGTCCTGCCCCATCCCCTCTGGGGCTGCTCAATGCCAGAGGAAGAGGGAAGGGAAGGGGATGGGGCAAACTGGGCCTTACATAAGGTGGAGATTCTGTGGCTGCAGGGGGAGGTGGCCTGTGCTTCATTAGAAACAAACTCAGTAAATCAGCAACATCTGGGGCCTGCTGGCTGGAGCACCGCCCCAGCAGGGCAGGGAAATCTCCTGTTGTCCTCCCAGATTAAAGGATTTTGCTGTTTGCTCACAGTTTTGTACATGTAAAACGAGCTGGCCCTGAGCAGCAGCCTGCCCAAAGCCTCGTGTTCCATCTCTGCCCTAAGCCTTTCCAAAACCCTCACCAAACACAAACCCCTGCCCAGGCACCCTCCCAAGGTCTGTCTGTGCTCCCTGCTCTGAGCCCTGCAAGGACACCCCACCCTTGGGAAGTGATTTTTGGGGTGTCTCAGGGGCAAGGTGGAGCTCAGGGCTCTGACAGCCCTGCCCAGCACCCCACGCTCCCCAAGGCAGGCGGCCGCACTTCGCTGCGTACTATTTATTCATTATATCAGAAAAGAAAACCTCATTAAATTAGTCCAGGACTCTGCTGGCTGCTCCCAGGTGAGGACACCAGTGCCAGGGCATGGCTGGGGTGGGGATCCAGCATTTCTTCATTTCACAGTGATGGGAGAAGGAGCAGAGACGCTGTCCTGAGGGCCGGGCCGGGCTGGGCCGGGCCGCACCCTCAGACCTCCAGCTTCTTCTTCATCTCCATGCGGTAAATGATCTGGTAGCCATCATCCCAGGCATAGATCTGCCTCTCCCTGGGGCTGTACTTGAGGCTGGCATGGGAGCCGTAGCGCTTGGGGAAGTAGACCAGGGAGGCGTCCTCGGGGGCCAGCGTGCCGCTGACGTCGAAGACGCACTGGACGCGGGCGCGGCTGGGCAGGCGCGTGTTGTACACCACGTGCAGCGCCCCGCACACCACGAAGGCGCCCTCGGCGTTCTCCCGCGGGCACGGCGTGTCCCACATCTGCTCGATGTCCAGCGAGGCGGGGTCCAGCTTGGCCAGGCACATGTTCTTCTCGTCCTCCTTGGTGGCGTAGATGGCCCAGAGGCCTTCCTCGTCTGCCGACACCTCGATGTAGGTGGAGGGGGACAGGCCGAAGACGGGGATCTGCTCCTCGGCCGGGAACACCGAGCTGTCCACCACCGTCTTGTTGGCCAGGTTGAACTTGATCACCTGGAAGGACAGGCCCTGCTGGCGGATGTAGTAGAGGTGGCCATCGTAGACGAGGTGCCCGGTGCCCACCCAGGGGTAGGGCAGCTTGATGCGGGCGGCCTTGCGGGTGGCAGAGAAGAGGGTGAACTCCCGCATGCGGGGGAAGACGTAAACCGTGTCGTTGGCGGTGCCGTCGAACACGTAGATCTTCTCTGAGGTCCCCGCAGCATCCTTGGTCCAGAGCCCCGAGGCGCTGCCGAAACGCTTCAGGATCTTCATGGCCCTGACACTGGCAATGGTGTCACTGCAGTCTGTGAGAGAGGGATGGCTGTGAGAGCCTGGGAACAGCCTGGCCCTGCAGCACTGCTGCTGCTCCGTGCTGGGTTCTCACCCTGTCCCACCAAAACCCCTTGGAAATTCACTGAAGGGGTTTAGGTGCATCCCTGGTGGCATTGGGAAGTCCCCTAGTGTACCCATGACACAGAGAGGAGCCACCCTCACCCCAGCCCTGCCCCAGAGGCTTTGGGGATGCACAAGGCTCCAGCCCGGGGCTTGGATGCAGCTCCCAGGCCAGGGGGGATGCAGGAGCTTGTGCCAGAGACATCTGAGGTGCCCTGCTGGGACACAATGCCCTGGCCCATGGCTGGGGGACACCTGGACTGGGGTGGGCTGGGAAGGGTCAGGGTAACGCTCAGACAGGAGTCATTCCAACACCTGGGGTGGTTTCATCTGCTGTGCAGGGGGATGCAGGCTGCTGAGCACCTTGGGAGTTTGAGCTCAGGTCTCCCTGAACCCAGCCATCAAGGGCAGTATCCAATTCATATCCAAGTCACCCTGACACAGCTTTTGGCAATTCCAACTTTGTGGGAAATATTAGCTCTTCCTATAGTGCCGCCAAGATTTAAACCTTTGCCTAAGAGCTTGGTTAACATTTAAACTCCATTCTACAACACCAGATCCAAATTTAATTTGAATTATAAGGCATTTGCATAATATCCAATCCCCCAGGGAGCCACGGCAGCCCCTCACCTGTGAGCTTGGTGTACTTCTCATTCTTCCTCTGCTTGGCTGTGGCCACCTGCTTGTCCATCAGCGTCTCATCCACCTCCACGCAGGGCGGGGCGGGGTTCTGTGTCTCCAGGTAGTCCACCTCCCTCTCCAGCCGGTCCACGCGCACGGCCGCGCCCTCGGCCTCCGCCCGCAGCGCCTCCCGCTCCTTCTCGGCCGCCTCCAGCATCCCCAGTACCTGGTTCTTGAAGTCCCGCAGCTCCGTGGAGTAGCGGCTGCTCTGGTCGTGCCACTGGGAGATCCTCTCCTGGGGTGGCCAAGGGGACACTGAGGTCTCCAAACCTCACAGCCCACCATGGCAGCTGTCCCAGCCTGCCCACACGGGGCTTGTGGCTCTGGGCCCCATCCCACCCTGTTCCTGCTCCTGTGGTTCTCCTGGGACTGTAACGCCCCTTCTCTTGTGATGTTCCCATTCCTGTGATGTCCCCATGACTCTTCCAGACCCACAATGTTCCTGCTTTCCCATGATGTTCCCATTCCTGTGATGTCCCAATGGTTCTGATGTTCCCATTCCTGTGATCTCCCCATGATTCTCCTAGACCCACAATGCCTCTGCTTTTCCATGATGTTCCCATTCCTGTCATCTCCTTGCAGTTCTCAGACCTGCAATGCCCCTGCTCCAGTGATATTCCCATTCCTGTGATGTCCCCATGGCTCTGATGTTCCCATTCCTGTGATGCCCCCATGGTTCTCCCAGACCCACAATGTCCCTGCTTTCCCATGATGTTCCCATTCCTGTGATATCCCCATAGTTCTGATGTTCCCATTCCTGTGATATCCCCATAGTTCTGATGTTCCCATTCCTGTGATGTTCCCATGGCTCTTCCAGACCCACAATGTCCCTGCTTTCCCATGATGTTCTCATTCCTGTGATGTCCCCGTGGCTCTGATGTTCCCATTCCTGTGATGCCCCCATGGTTCTCCCAGGCCCACAATGCCCCTGCTCCCCCGATCCCCCATGCCCCAGTGCTCCCACACCCATCTTGCCCCGGTGTATCCCAGCTGGGCTGTGCAGGACCCCGGCAGGAGCTTCCAGGGCTCCCCACCCCCTGCTCCATCCCTACCCCGGCTCCTCCTCACCAGCCCCGCTCCCAGCCCCTCCGGCCTCCCTGGGGAAGGGTTTGGCTGCCTGTCCCGGGGCGATTCGGGGTGCGGGGCCGGCTGTACCTCCAGGAGGGTGATGCGGCGCTCCACGTACTCCATGAACTGCTGCTGCTGGGCGCGCAGGGCCGGGGCGAGCAGCGGCAGCAGCAGCAGCAGGCAGCGCCAGGGCCCCATGGCCGGCAGCGCTGCAGCCTCCAGCTCAGTGCTCAGGAATGCTCCGGCCTCCCCAGCCCTTATTGCATCCAGATGTGCACAGGGAGGGAGGGGACGCTGCTCCTTCCCCGCAGACCAGCCCCGGGCGCTTTAACCCCTTCGTGCCCCAGCCAGCGCGCTGCCCCCGAGCCGCGGGGATGGGGCAGGAGACTGGGGACGGGCTGGGGACAGGAGTTTGGGGTGTGGGGAGAGCTGCAGGAGCCCTGAGCGAGAGGACACGTCCTCATGAGCCGTACTTTGGGGACAGCGAGGGGACAGCCCCGGCTCCTTGTCCGCAGAGGTGCCCAAAGCCAGCGGCCAACCTGAGCCACGTCCAGGTCTGGGGACAGGGATGTCCCTGGGGACAGGGAGGGTGCCAGCCCAGAGGGTTTGTCCCCTAGGATAGGGACAGTGCTAGCCCAGCGGGTTGTCCCCTGGGCAGGAACACTGCCGGCCCAGCGGGTTTGTCCCTTGGGACAGGGATGGTGCCAGTGCAGGGGGTTTGTCCCTGGGGACAGAGACACTGCCAGCACAGCAGGCTTGTGCCCTGGGGACAGGGATGGTGCCAGCACTGCAGGTTTGTCCCTGGGGACAGGGACAGTGCCAGCCCAGCAGGTTTGTCCCCAGGGACAGGGACACTGCCAGCCCAGCGGGGTTGTCCCCTGGGACAGGGATGGTGCCAGCATGGCAGGTTTATCCCTTGGGGACAGGGATGGTGCCAGCATGGCAGGTTTATCCCTTGGGGACAGGGACACTGCCAGCCCAGCGGGGTTGTCCCCTCGGTGTCCGGCAGCCCCGGGATCCTGCGTCACCCTGGATCCCCCTGGGAAGCTGCTGGAGCTGCTGGAGGGCCTGGAGTGGCCATGGCAGGAGGGGGCCCACAGTTACCTGTGGCAGGAGAGCATCTCCTCAGGTGAGGAGCTCCTCCTCTGAGCCCTTCCCCACCCCAGGAGGGTGCTTGGGATGGCCCAAGGTTCCCCTCTGGGAAGGCACCAGCCAGGGCTGGATCTGTGGCATCCCCCAGCCCAGCCCCAGAGCAGCCAGATGGGATCCAGGCAGGTTATTTGTTATTTGTTATTTGGTGGGATCCAGGCAGGTTATTTGTTATTTGGTGGGATCCAGGCAGGTGTTATTTGTGTTGCTTTGTTCTTATTTTGTGCTGAGGCTGGCAGTGAGCACCGACCAACAATTATTCTAAGCATTTGCCCACCAAAAGTTGGGATGTGGAAGAAGACACCAGCTCAGATATTTGGCATGGCCAGGAACCTGTTTGAACCCAGGGATGAGGTGAGGCAGCCTTTAAAATACACTTCTTGTTAGCTGCCCTTACTCAGACAAACAGAAATCAGGACCTGGATGGACAGAAATCAGGTTTAAAACTTATTGCCACCATTGTTTCCAGCAGGGTGCAAATGTACCCAAACCTCAGCAGCAGAAACCATGTACCCAAATGTACCCAAACCATGGCAGCAGAACCTTCAGAGCCAACTCTGGACTCATCTCAGCTTTTCTGGACTTCACTCCCTTTTGCCTCAGCTTACCACAGTTAAGACAGTGATTTTAAAAAGCTACATTTAATTTCTTTCTATTCTTCCTAATATGAAACAACTTATTAGTTAAAGAGAAAATCAAGCTCGTAGGTTAGAGCAAAACCCACTCCCTGCTCTGGCATCCAGCACAGCAAAAGCAGCCTCCCATGAGCTGGTGATTATTTTTCTGGCTCCAGGCATGCAAACATAAACCACAAAATCACCCTGAACCTTTTTAGAGATGCTGGGACTGCACAAACTGTGAGTTCACTAAAGGAAAGGTGAGCGTTACAGGGGTCCAGTTTCCTTTCAGTTTTCTAGTTCCATCTCTAGTTTTTTAATCTCCAGGAACAGTTTCTGGATTTCCAGCAGACTTTTCACTTTTTCCACAGGCATACCGCATTCAAAGGTCGATTTAATGTAATGAACCTCTTGACACACATCAGCATCACCTTCCTTCATCTGTTAAACAGGAAAACAAACCCCAGAAAAGCCTGTGAGGATGGAGTGCAGCAGAGGCAGAGCCACCCACTCCTCAGCTATGAGGCTGCCCTGTCCCAACAGGGGCTGCATCATCCTCAGGAGCAGAAATGAAAATCTTTTGAGAAGTTTAAGCAGTTTTCATGTTAGAAATCAGGCAGCACCCACCCAGGGACTCAGCCAGGCTCAGCACCCTGAGGCTCTGAGCACCTGGGAAGGTTCAACCATGGCAGGGTGGAACTGGATGATCTTTAAGGCTCCCCCCAACCCAACCATTCTGTAATTTTGTGGTACTCACACACTTGGGCAGTGGTGTCCAGCTGCCATCAGGCAAGCACGTGGCTGTCCAGGCATTTTCCATCATTCCATTGTCTGGAAACTGGTAGCCAGGAAGGCACTCCAAGGTGACAGTCTCGTCGGTCTGGTACCACCTTTGCTCACCCAAAGGGCTTTTCAGCTTTCCAAAGGGCACTTGTGGTGGTGGACACAGGACTGAAAGGAAAGCCCAGGGCAGAAGGCACCTCAGCCAGAGGTCAGAAAGGAGTTTGGGAAGTACAGAGGAACTTAAAATTGTGAAGCTGTGAAATCAAAACCACTTCTCTTCAAGAAGAGGGTGAAGGTCAGAGCAGCCCCTGTGAGGGGCTGTGAATTCCTTATGGATTTGCTGTTTCTGGCAGTGTTTCAATCCAGGCATCCCCATGGTGGGGGTCAACATTTGGCAATAAGGGAAAGGAAAGTCAGTGAGCTCCTGACCTGTCTTAGACCTCCTTTATACAGAGCTGTCAATAAAAACTCAACTATGACCTGGAAAACACCAGCTTTGGGAAAGTTGTTTCTTCTGCAAAGAGGAGAAGGACTCAGGAAGCCCCAAGGACAGACAGAGGCAGGCAATCCTGCACCCCAAGCCCTCTGCTGTACCCCAGGGGCCACAGCTGAGCAGGAGATTTTGGGAGCACCCCTAAATGCAGTAGATGGGCACAGTTTCATTTACCCATACCACAGTTTGTTAGTGAATCACTACATCTTCCTGCCGTGGGGGTTTGGGACACTGAACTGAAAGGAAAATGCACATTAAAAATCCAGGAACAGAAAGTGGAGGAGAAAATGCTCACTCACCTGGCTGGCAGGTGGGCACGGGCGGGTCCCAGGTGCCATCAGCCAGGCACTGGCTCTGGGCAGCACCACGCAGCCTGAAGCCTTCCTCACAGGAGAAGTGCAGGAGCAGCCCATAGGGAAAGGTGAACACCTGTGGGCTCATCCTTCCCCTCTCCACCACGGGCTTGGGGCACCGAACCGCTGTGGGACAGAGCAGAGCTGGCACTGGGCTCTGGGCACAGCAGAACCCGGGCAGGGCTGCTCCTCCCGAGCCCTGATGGCCCCCGGAGAGGAGAAGCAGGGTCTGTCACTTCCAGAGGGATCATCCCCCCTTCCTGTGGAGGAAGCAGCATCTGCAGGCAGCCCTGCCTGGTTTGTTCTGAGTGCTGGCACTGCCCCCAGGGCCTGGCTCAGGCTGGTGCCATGCCCTGATCCCACAGTGACCCCAAACCACTCACCCCTGCACAGGGCCTGGCTCAGGCTGGTGCCATGCCCTGATCCCACAGTGACCCCAAACCACTCACCCCTGCCCAGGGCCTGGCTCAGGCTGGTGCCATGCCCTGATCCCACAGTCACCCCAAACCACTCACCCCTGCACAGGGCCTGGCTCAGGCTGGTGCCATGCCCTGATCCCACAGTGACCCCAAACCACTCACCCCTGCACAGGGCCTGGCTCAGGCTGGTGCCATGCCCTGATCCCACAGTGACCCCAAACCATTCACCCCTGCCCAGGGCCTGGCTCAGGCTGGTGCCATGCCCTGGTCCCACAGGGACCCCAAACCACTCACCCCTGCACAGGGCCTGGCTCAGGCTGGTGCCATGTCCTGGTCCCACAGTGACCCCAAACCACTCACCCCTGCACTCCGGGGCACGCCCACTCCAGGTCAGGTTCTCCCCATCCTCGGAGGTGCAGTAGAGGGATTTGTTCCCGATGAGGGACAGCCCCTCTGCACAGCTGTACTTCACTTCAGAGCCGTAGGTGAACTGTGTGAACCCCATGCCAGAGTGCTGCCCGTTGGTGATTTTGGGAGGGGGACCACAGACTGTGTGAGAGTAAAGGGAAAAGTCAGGTTTTCCTCATTCCATCAGGGAGGCAGAAGGCAGGGAGGTAACAGGAGAGGCTGGTTCTCTGTGTTTATGGCATGTGTTGCTCTCCTCACAGTCCTCCCTGCCCCTGGCCAGCTTTGGCCATGGCTGTGCCAGTGCTCCCAGGCTGACCCAGCAGAGGAACCCACCCTCAGCACAGCCCCAGCGCTGCAGCACCCCTCCCCTCCCCTTCAGCCCCTTCCCCTTCCTCATCCTCTCTCTTTTCCATCCTGCTCCTAAGCAAGGTCAGGGAATGGTAAACATCATAAACAGCTTGAAGAATCCTTTCAGAAATGACTGCAAATCCCATTGACCAACACATTTCACCAATCACAGTTTTGGGAGAGGATGGAAATGCCAAAGCCCTTCCCTGCTGTGGTTTGGGCACCTTCTCCTCACACCTCACATGGTTTTCTCCCTGCTGTCCCTCCCTGTTGTATTTGCAGGGTGCTCCATGGTGATGGTTCTGACTCCATGTTCTCAGAAGGCTAATTTATTATTTTATATACTATATTATATTAAAGAATACTAAACTAAACTATACTAAAGAATACAGAAAGGATACTTGCAGAAGGCTAAAAAGATAATAATGAAAACTCGTGACTCCTTCCAGAGTCCCGACACAGCTTGGCCCTGATTGGCCAAAGAGTCAAAATAATTCACAGAAACCCAATGAAACAATCACCTGTGGGTAAACAATCTCCAACCACATTCCAAAGCAGCAAAACACAGGAGAAGCAAATCACATAATTATTGTTTTCCTTTTTCTCTGAGGCTTCTCGGATTCCCAGGAGCAAAATCCTGAGCTGAAGGGATTTTTCAGAAAATGTGACAGTGACACCTCCCCACGGATGGAATCCCCAGCCCTGTCCCCACTCACCCCTGTCACAGTAGGGCACGGGGGGTCTCCATATCCCATCAGAGGAGCACTGCACCCTGTCACTGCCCCGGAGCATGAAGCCATGGTCGCACTGGAACTCCACCTGCTGCCCAAAGGTGTACTCGGCTCTGCTGGGGCTGGTCTCTGTCCCGTGGGGGATGGCTGGGCTGGGACACTGCACCTCTGGGGGACAGCAGCAGCAGAGAGGAGAGGTTGGCACAGAGCCATTCCCAGCCGAGCTGCCAGGCAGCGCTGCCAGGCACCTCAAAGCAGAGCTGGCAGGCTCAGGGATGGCAATTACAGGATAACAAGAGCTGCTCTTGGAAGGCAGAAGGATGTGAGTATTGTATTCACAGGCAACCCCAATGAGGGGGAAAAATGATGAGGAGTCTATTGATATCAGAAGGCTAATTATTACTATATTACATTAATAATATAATAAAGTATGATAATATAATATTATAATAATAATGCAATAATAATATAATAAATATATTAATAATATATACAATTATAATAATCATACATTATTAAATATTAGATAATATATGATCAAAAATAATATCATAATTTATATATTAATGTTATATAATGTATAATGTATTATTAATATATTAATAATATAATATTATTAATATTACATATTATTGAATATTATACATTATTAATAAATATATTAATATTATAATTACTGTAATAAATATAATGATATAATCATATAATATAATCATATAATGTAATCATATATTACTATATAGTATATTATTATACTATATTATTCTATATTATATGACACAATATTACATTACACCTAAACTGAATCTGCCAAGCACTCGACCCTGCACACAACTGCACTCGTCTCGTAATTGTCACCCAACAGTCCTGACACACACACACACACACCTGGCCCTGACAGGCCAAGGAAACACAACACCATCGCTTTGGGGCAAACAATCTCCATATTGCATTCTGCTTTTGCACAAACACAGGCACAGGAAATGAGATAAGAATATTCTTGGGAAGAATTGTGCCTTGCTTTTCTGTGTGAAGAGGAATGTGGGGCTCCACGTGAGAGCCTGTGATCAGCTGGAAATCGCGCTGGGGGATGGCTCCTCACTGGCTGCATCCCTGAATCCTTGTTGGAGCCTCTAAATAACCAGGGCGAGCTGCAGCTTTTCCTATCCAGGCACGCCACCTTTTGAGCAACGAAATTACTGCCAGGGAGAGCCGAGGGTGCTGCAGGAAGCCCGGGCAGGGTGTGACAGTGGTGTCACCCCATGGTGATGTGCTGGCAGAGCACGATGGCAGAACATGCTGGCAGAAACGGATCCTTTTATTCTGAATTCATCCCAGCCTCCTGAAGATGCCTTGGTGAGATGGATCACCCTTGAGTGTGGTCACCAATTGTGGTCACCAATTGTTGCAGTGTTGTTGAGGGTCCTCAGGATGAGGTGAGAGATGAGAATTGACTCCAAGTTCTCAGAAGGCTGATTTATTATTTTATGATGTGATATTATATTAAACTAAAATTATATACTAAAACTACACTAAAGAAAAAGAAAGGAGAATGAATAATAGAAAAGAATGAATAATAAAAACACGTGACAGACTCAGAGAGCCCGACACAGCTGGACTGGGATTGGTCATTAAGTTAAAACAATTCATATGCTGGGTAAACAATTCTCCAAATCATATTCCAGAGGAGCAAAACATGGAGAAGCTGAAGCTTCCCAGCTTCCCAGGAGAAGAAATCCTGGCAAAGGGATTTTTCAGAAAACATGACAGAGTACACCACTGCTGTACTCACTCTGGCACATCCTGGGCACCGCGGACCACGTGAAGTTCTGGAGACAGGTGATGGTTGGGGACACCCCAGGGACCAGGGAGAAGCCGGCTCGGCACGAGTAGGACAGCGTGGTGCCAACAGGGAACTCCCGGCGGGGCTGGAAATCGGCGAACTCCACAGAGGGAGGGTGGCGACACTGCCCTGGGGACAGCACAGAGCCTTATCACTGCCCTGGGGACAGCACAGAGCCTCAGGGGACAGCACAGAGCCTCAGCACTGCCATGGGAACAGGAGGGGACAGCACAGAACCTTATCACTGCCCTGGGGACAGCAGGGACAGCACAGAGCCTCAACACTGCCCTGGGGACAGCAGGGACAGCACAGAGCATCAGCACTGCCATGGGGACAGGAGGGGACAGCACAGAGCCTCAACACTGCCCTGGGGACAGCACAGAACATTATCACTGCCATGGGGACAGCACAGAGCCTCAGGAGACAGCACAGAGCCTCAGCACTGCCCTGGGGACAGCACAGAGCCTTATCACTGCCCTAGGGACAGCAGGGACAGCACAGAGCCTCAGCACTGCCCTGGGGACAGCACAGAGCCTCAGGGGACAGCACAGAACCTTATCACTGCCCTGGGGACAGCAGGGACAGCACAGAGCCTCAGCACTGCCCTGGGGACAGCACGGAACCTTATCACTGCCCTGGGGACAGCACAGAGCCTCAGGAGACAGCACAGAGCATCAGCACTGCCATGGGGACAGCACAGAACCTTATCACTGCCCTGGGGACAGCACAGAGCCTTATCACTGCCATGGGGACAGGAGGGACAGCACAGAGCCTCAGGGGACAGCACAGAGCCTCAGCACTGCCCTGGGGACAGCACAGAACCTTATCACTGCCCCGGGGACAGCACAGAGCCTTATCACTGCCCTGGGGACAGCAGGGACAGCACAGAGCCTCAGGGGACAGCACAGAACCTCAGCACTGCCATGGGGACAGCACAGAACCTTATCACTGCCCTGGGGACAGCACAGAGCCTCAGCACTGCCCTGGGGACAGGAGGGACAGCACAGAGCCTCAGGGGACAGCACAGAGCCTCAGCACTGCCCTGGGGACAGCAGGGACAGCACAGAGCCTCAACACTGCCCTGGGGACAGCACAGAACCTTATCACTGCCCTGGGGACTGCAGGGACAGCACGGAACCTTATCACTGCCCTGGGGGCAGCACAGAGCCTCAGCACTGCCCTGGGGACAGCACAGAACGTTATCACTGCCCTGGGGACAGCAGGGACAGCACAGAGCATCAGCACTGCCATGGGGACAGGAGGGGACAGCACAGAGACTCAACACTGCCCTGGGGACAGGAGGGGACAGCACAGAGCCTCAGGGGACAGGACAGAGCCTCAACACTGCCATGGGGACACAGAGCAGGGACAGCCAGAGCCTCAGGGGACAGCACAAAGCCTCAACACTGCCCTGGGGACAGCACAGAACCTTATCACTGCCCTGGAGACATCAGGGACAGAGCCTCAGCACCACCCTGGGGACAGCAGGGACAGCACAGAGCCTCAGCACTGGGAGCTTTTCTTTGGGAGCTTTTCTTTGGTGGAAAACCCCAGCAATAAGTGAGGGACAGCAGAACCCCTGAGCTTGGCTGTGGGGTGAAGAGAAAGGGAGAAACAGCGGGGAAAATTCCCCAGAGAATGTGAACTGAGTGAGAATCTTTATTCTTGTGTGCTTTGGTACCTTGTGGGTGTCCCCTGCAGGGAGGGACAGCCCTGCCACGCTCCCCAGGGTGATCCCAGAGGGAATTCACAGAATTATTGGGTTGGAAGAGACCTTCAAGATCATCGAGTCCAACCCAGCCCCAACCCCTCAACTCAACCCTGGCACCCAGTGCCACATCCAGGCTTTGTTAAACACCCCCAGGGATGGTGACTCCACCACCTCCCTGAGCAGCCCAATCCAGAGCTTTATCTGTAAAAAACTTCTATAAAAACTCTCCCTTTCTGTAAAAAACTTTTTCCTGATATCCAATCTAAATTTCCCTTGGTGCAGCTTGAATCCTGCCAGCCAGCAGCGCTCCTGGTGATGCCCACCCTCCAAACCCCCTCCAAAGTGCTTTTGGGGAAACAGGAGCAGCCGATTGCAGCTGGCAGAGGCCAGCAGGGGGTGTGAGCTCACCTGGGATGCAGGAGGGCACCCGTGGGTACCACCGGCCGCTGTGTGTGCAGCGTGCAGTGCTGGCAGTGCCCACGAAGCCGGGGTCACACTGCAGTGTGGCTGTGCTGCCAAAGGTGAAGTTCTCTGCAGAGCTCAGCTGCCCGTGTGCGATGGAAGGGATGGGACATTGAGACTCTGTGGAGCACCAAAAAAAAGAAAAAAAAAAAAAAAAAGGAGGGGGTTTAGGGGTGTTTTGCATAATGGCATCATGGTGGGCAAATGTCATGGCAGCTCTGGCTGGGGGGGAGAGGAGATGTGGCACTGCTGGGTCAGGAACAGAAGTGAAGGGGACACAAGCTCTCTTCAGCAGGCCAATAACAATAACTCCTCAGCTGCTGGAAACACCCCCACATCCCTGCATCTCGGGGCCTTTCTGGGTCGCTGCAACACCGAGATTGTTCAAAGTCTCTTTTCCCAGACTGGCGATTGAAGGAGTCAGAGCTCTGCATTTCTTGGTCTCAAGGTTGTTTATTGTTTCTTATCTATAAAAATTTTTCTCCTGCCCTGCTGAGGTCCATCCAGCAGGACAGTTCCAGGCACTCTGCCTGCCCCCAGGGCAGGGTTATGTCTTTATACTAAAAATACATTATTTACAATTCCTTTCCAATACCCATCACCTGTGTTAGACATTGAGCTTCTACTCTGAACCAATCCAAAAGTGCCAACATCACAGCAGAAGATGGAGGCCAGGAAGAAGAAGGAGAAAGGCTGGACATGCCCAGATGCCTCCATCTTGCCTCATGAACCCCCATACCAAAAACCCCAAAATCTACTTTTCCACCCCGTGATAACTTCACTATTATTCTACCTAAACTGTTGTGGCTTGCAGATCTTCATCTAAGGTTGGTAATTTGCTCCATAATCAAACCCAGAGGTGTTTTGGGCTCTGTGCCAGGGTCTCTGAGCCCCCTGGCAGGGGTCCTGGCCATCCTGGACAGGCAGAGGGATGTGCTGGGTCCCACCTGCACTCATGGAACAGCACTAATTTGAGCTGTTTATTTGCATACACTATAAATGAACCTATTTGTTATATACACTTTATATATGATCTCTTTATTCGAAAGCCATTCCTTTTTATACACTGTTCTGATACAGGTGGACCTGATTGGTCATTTAATCAACACACCATCACCACTGGCTAATTAAGGAAATCCCCTTTGGTAAACAATTTATGAGAAAACAACTGCTCAAAACACCAGCTGCAAGATTGTTTTAGTTCTTTCTCTCAGCCTTCTCAAAACTCCCCAGAACAATTCCTGGGGAAGTTTATCTGGCTTTCTCTGGCCAGGCTGTCAATACCCACAGAGACAAAGCTGTGTAATGACTACAGAGACTGAGGCAGAGGTTTGGGGGTTTATAAACATCCTGAGCCATCAGCAGGACCCCAAACCTGTAGGGTTTCCTTTCCACACAACCAAAACCTTTCCTGCCCTGCCCTTGGAGCCCTTGCTCAGGCAGGGCACAAGTGACTCAGCTCAGGTGCAGCAGCTCCCTCCAGCCTCATAAAAAAAAAAAAAAAAAAAGAATTTCTACAACTGCATGACCTCTGTCACACCTGCACATCACTGATGTCCCAACAAAAAACTCCTCTTTCCATGTCTCCCATGAGAAATATTTGGGGGCTTATCACAAATAACAGAGTAAACAAAACTCCAGCAGCTCTAACTGGGGTTTCTTCCTGCCTGGCAGTGCTGGCAGGCGACCAAGACAGAGTTAAAAACATGTCAGAACATCCTGGTCCACACCCAGGTGCTGTAGCATCCCCCACCTGCACCCTGCCAGGGCAGTGCCACCCGTGCTGCCTTTGGTGCCGTCCCCATGGAAAATATCTTGGAAAAGATCTTGTTTGTGTCTCCTCCACATTAATTATTGGCACCTCATTAGCAATGTTTGGCTTTGGGAAATGGGCTGAGAAGCATTAGGAAGTAAAAGCAATAAATATTGACAATAAAAGCAGAGTGCACAGGCAGTGCTGGTGCAGGGCTGTGCACCCTGGAGAAGTTTCTGGAAAGGTTTGGGTTTAACTGAACCCCCAACTTCCAGACAGAAACTGCTGCTTATTCCCCTTCCCAGAGACATTCAGTGCTCAGCAGATTTGCACTTCTGCAGTTCTGAGGTCAGCCTGGGGGATGCCTGCCCATGGCCCAGCTGCCTTGGGCAGCTCTGGGGGCTGCCCCAGGGCTGAGGCATCACAGAATCAGTCAGAGAAGCAGGGAAGGGACATTATGGAAGGGACATAAAACTTGGAATGGAAGGGACATTAAAGCCCATCCTGGGCAGGGACACCTCCCACTGTCCCAGGCTGCTCCAAGCCCTGTCCAGCCTGGCCTTGGGCACTGCCAGGGATGCAGGGGCAGCCCCAGCTGCTCTGGGCACCTGTGCCAGGGCCTGCCCACCCTCCCAGGGAACAATTCCTTCCTAACACCCAACCTAACCCTGCCCTTATTCACCCTAAACCCATTCCCCTTTCCCTGCCAGGCCTTTCCTGGTGCAGAGCCCCTCTCCAGCCTTCCTGGAGCCCCTTCAGGCCCTGCAAGGCTCTATCAGCTCTTCCCAAAGCCCCTGTGGAAGGAAAGCAGAGCCCCAGAAGCCCAGACCCCGAGGAGGGAAGGAGGGGAGGACACTCACCCTGAGTCCCCATGGGCTGCAGCAGCAGAACCAGCACTGCCAGGAGCTGCCCTGGCATGGTGAGGGTGGGAGCTGCCCTGGCAAGGAGAGATTCTGCCCTGAGAGCCTGCCAGGGAAGGGGAAGCAGCAGTGGGAAGTTGGGGACAGGCCAAAGACACCACTGACACCACCCCCAGCCCTGGGATGTGCAAGGCAAGGGAGGCTGCTCTGGGCACAGAGGGAGTGCAGGGGGCTCACAGCTCCAAGGGCTCTGCAGCAGCCTGGCCTCGTGTCTGGGGCAAGTTTACACCCAGGGCAGGTGGGGTGAGGGGTGCCAGGCTGCTGTGGAAACACCCCCCACATCCCTGCACTCATGGAACAGCACCTAACTGAGCTGTTTATTTATGTACACTATAAATAAATAAAATTATTTATTATATACACTTTGTATATTATCTGTACTTCATACCTATTACAGAAATACTTCCCCTTTACTGGAGATAGAACAGATTATTAAAACCCAGACAGAGCAGTCTTTACAATTTCAGGTTTATTTTAATCTCTGGTCCCATCACAAGACACGTGGCCCACATAGTGCTTCCCCCTCACTGGATGGTGCAAAATAAAAAAAAAAAAAAAATCAAAACCATTCCTTTCTTTCTGTACACTGTTATTTGTCCTTGGGGAACACACAGAGATGTGGCACTTCCATCCTGCTTGGGAGGAATACCTGGCATTTTTGCTTTGCTAGGACAGAGGCTTTGAGGTTTTCTTGGTGATGAGAAAAGTAATTAGGCAGTGAAGGAGTTGTTCCCACTAATGAGTGCAGTGTGGATGAACTGGGCAGCACTGGGGTAGACTGGAGAGGTGCAGCAGCTGCAGGTGAGTGGCTCTCACCACGTTCATGCCTGTTTCTACCACCAAAATTCACTTTCCACTCAGTTCCTTCCTAACTGTGCACTGCCAGTGTAGCAAACAGATCTAAATGTGAAGCTTTGAAAGGCATAAGGTGATCTACAAACTGAACCTGGTGAGCTCTAAAAATGGACTCACAAGTCATTGACTCACAAGTCCTTGACTCCTCATGTGACCAAATCTGTGGCCAATTGTTAAATTTTGTCCTGGCTACTTCAGCATTAGCACAAATTACAAAGCCATAAAGATCCTCAGTCAGCATCATGATCCAACACAGAGAGGATGGTTCTTAAAATCCCAGTCAGCCGTAGGTGGTGACTTTTAGCTCCTTTTCAAGTTTCTGGATCTCCAGGAACAGCTTCTTGACTTCCAGCTGGGTTTTCAGTTCTGACAGAGGCATTCCACACTGGAAAGCTGCTTTGTGTTGAAGAATCCTCTCACACACCTCACTTTTCCTCTTAAAGAGAACCAAAGCAAAGGCAGAGTGAGACTCCAGTGTGGGGTGACAAAGCAACCGCCCTCCTGAAGCTGGACCAAAGCTACAAATGGGGCAAGAAACAGGAAAAACGGGGCAGCTGGTGGGACTTACACACGTGGGTGGTGGTGTCCAGGTGCCATCAGCTGAACAGGTGGTTTTGGAAGGTGCCTCTAAGTGCCCACGATGTCGGCAGTAGAAGTTCACAGTTTCATTCACCTCATACCACATCTTGTTGAAGTTAATCACCACGTCATCCTGCCTGGCAAGCCTGGAGCACCGAACTGAGGGGGAAACACACACAAAAAACCCAATAATGGGAGGAGATGGAGGAGAAAACTCTCCCTGTGAGCCAGCAGAGCAGCCCCCGGGCCGAGCAGGGCAGGGCTGGCACTCACCTGGCTGGCAGGTGGGCACGGGCGGGTCCCAGGTGCCATCAGCCAGGCACTGGCTCTGGGCAGCACCACGCAGCCTGAAGCCTTCCTCACAGGAGAAGTGCAGGAGCAGCCCATAGGGAAAGGTGAACACCTGTGGGCTCATCCTTCCCCTCTCCACCACGGGCTTGGGGCACCGAACCGCTGTGGGACAGAGCAGAGCTGGCACTGGGCTCTGGGCACAGCAGAACCCGGGCAGGGCTGCTCCTCCCGAGCCCTGATGGCCCCCGGAGAGGAGAACCAGGGTCTGATGTTGGGAAGGATGAAAGTTTGACAAGGAAGTCTCACAGATATGTGTGTTTAGCAGAAAGATTTTTGAATGTAGAATCTGAAGAAGGAATAGAGATGGAAGCAAGTTTTGATATAGAAGAAAAGAATTGCTGAGCCAGTCTTACTGGATAGCCAAGGAAGCAAAAAATATGTTATGACTTAGAGCAAAAGATAAACCCACCCCAAACAAGAAGATGTTTTTGCCAAGCAGAAAGATAGCACAGGCAAAATAATCAGCAAAGTTGCAACTAGAAAAAAGGTCTCAGAATTTTCCACTGCAAGAAATCTGAAAAACAACTTCTAGCTTAAACTGTAATGTACTGACTTTGAGTGATTGGAGAACAGTAACATGAATATGGTAATTATAGTAGTTATGATGGGCTATAGATAATAGTTAAGGTATAGATTGGTTCTGCTGTATGAAGATGCTCAGCAAAGAAAAGTCTATAATGCATTGTGACCAAAAGAAAAGTCTATAATGCATTGTGACCAAAACCAAAGGGTCTCCAGGCCTGCCTGCAGCTGGAGCTGACAGCTGTGGGCACAGCTCTGTCACCCACGACCCTGGGCTGCTGTGACATCTTGGATGTAATAAACTGCATTTTGGAGACTGCCTGGAGTCCCACATCTCTCATTGAGGCTCTTACAGTGCCACTTCCCAAGGGAACATCCCCCCCTCCTGTGGAGGAAGCAGCATCTGCAGGCAGCCCTGCTCACTTTAACCCCGTTGTTCTGAGTGCTGGCACTGCCATGCCCTGATCCCACAGTGACCCCAAACTGTCAGCGTTCAGGAGCACATAATCACAGAATGATTACATGCAGGTGCTTTTATTGAAGAGCTCTGGGTGTCAGGGGTGCATAGACCCAAATCTGACCCAACATGGTTTCGAGCTGAACATATTTTTTATTTTATATTATATATTTATACATATATTAGAATATATTTATATTTTATTTATATTTTATACTTCATATTTTATATTTTATATTTAGATTTAGATTTAGATTTAATGAATATTTTATGCATATTTTATATTCTATCATTATATAAATTATATATTAATTATTAAACTTACATTGTTCTATTGTATACATTGATTTCATCCAAGCATGGATTTCTCATGATCCCACTCAAACCCCTAACAGAGTTTCTCGTGATTCTTTAAACAATAATTATATCTGATCACATCTAACAATTATATCATTTATCATATACTGACTACACAGGTGTAGTTTCACATATTCTAGCAAATACAAGGCCTAACATATTCTAGATAATTCAAGGCCTTGTTTGTGTCTCCTCCACATTCATTATTTCCCAGGGCCTACCTTTAACATTTTCCCAGGGCCTACTAAGCCTAACTTTCTTTCTAACCCCCCGAATTTTCTATGATTTTAAAATCTTTCACTATCAAAACCACTCACCCCTGCACTCCGGGGCAGGTCCACTCCACGCCAGGCTCTTGCCATCGTCTGAGGTGCAGTAGAGGGACTCGTCCCCCACCAGGGACAGCCCCTCTGCACAGCTGTAGGTCACCTTGGAGCCATAGAAGAACTCCCTGCCACCTCTGCCAGAGTGCTGCCCAAAGGCTATTTGGGGAGGGGGACCACACGCTGTGGAAAAAAGGGAATTGAGAAAGAAAGACACGTGCAGTGCAGTTAGCACCTTCAGGTGAGAGTCAAAAACATTTCTGTGAAATCAGCACAAAGTTAGTTTTGTGGTTGGTGTGAGGCAAATTCACAGGGAGCTGCTGCCTGGATTCTGGCCTCTTACAGCACCCCAGAAATATCAGGATATTTCCTGTGGTGGCCACCCCACCCCTGAAGTGTTCAAGAAACACATGGATGTGGCACAGTGGGATTCACTCAAAGCCTGGACCTGATGATGTTGGAGGTATTTTCCAACCTTAATGATTCTAATTCCAGCTCTGGGGAGGGGACACCTGGCTGAGGTCGTGCCCCCAGGAGCAGGTGCTGCAGGCAGATCACCCACTGGTGGCAGGGGATCACCCACTGGTGGCAGGGGATCACCCACTGGTGGCAGGGGATCACCCACTGGTGGCAGATCTCTTGTCCCCTGTGTGTCACACATACCTTTGTCACAGAAGGGCACCTGGGGCTCCCAGCTCAGATCAGCCCCACAGGTGATGGATTCAGAGCCCCTGAGGGCAAAGCCCTCCTCACAGGCCAGCCTCACCCGGGTCCCCACTGAGTAGCCACTGCTGCTTTTATAAACCTCCTTTCCATGAGGGACATTTGGCTTCGGGCAATGTAGTTCTAGAAATAATGGGAAATAAAAAATGTTGTACATTTCCAAAAAGAACTCCAGTCATGTTTTCTATGGAGAAGAGCTACCAACAAATCTGAACCATGGTAGGAAAGTGATCAAGCCCCAGGTGCAGGTCTCAGGCTGCCCCTGTAACCCTGAAGGGTCAGTACAGGGAATTCTCCATGCTCTAATCTGCCTGCCCTGGGAGGTGGAGCAGGTTTTTCCCTCCTGGCAAGGTTTTCCTGAGTTTTTTGGGGATATTGCTGTGGTGCTGGGTCAGGAGTTGGAGCAGTGTCAGTTATTTACTCATTTTCTCCTGACAGGGGAAATGCCTTGGGAACATCTTCTGCTCTCCAGAAAAGCAGCCCCAAGCACAAACCACATCCCCTTCCAGCTGGGTAAATGTCTCCCTGGCTTCCTCAGGAACCTCCCAAGCCTCTAGAAGCTTCCAACCCACCACCCTTGCACCCTCCAGACACCAGCTCAGCCCTGCCAAAACCCTGCCCTTTTTCCACGGGGCCCATATGAAACTTTTGCTACCTGTATATTCCACATTAACCCAGGAGAAGTAGATCTGGGGCCACCTGGAGTGGGGGGGGAAATTCTCCATGGTTTCTGTCATGCTCATTTCACCACTCTGTCCCACCTGGAATGCACTCTGGCACTGCTGGAGTCCATTCACCATCGCTGCCACAGCGGAGGGTGATGCTGCTGTCATGGCTTTTGAAAGCAAATCCTTCACTGCACGCCACCTCCAGCCTGTCCCCGCTCTCATAAACCTCTTTCACTTGCCATGGGTGCAAGGGCCTTCCATTTGGGATGTGTGGATCTGGGCAAGGAATTCCTGGGAAATGCCAAACATCAGTGAGGGTGAAACCATGGCAAAGCCAAGTGGGTGACGGGAAATTTGTTGTGAAGACAAGGACGGATGGACAGACACATCATGACATTAAATCTGCCCCAAAAGCATCCCTGGGCTTTCCTGGGGTGTGGAATGTTGGTGGTGCACCCTCAAGAGCACAATGGATGTTTTCCAGAGGTTCAAGGAGCTGGCAAATAAAGCAAAGCCAACTCTGCAGCTGAGGAATAAATCAAAGGAATTTGAGAGTCAGCAAAGACCAAGCTGGGCCCTGGAGCATCCCCCTGTCCCCCAGGCTGTCCCCACCCCACGTGCAGCTCCTTCACACACTCTGGCAGTCACAAAAGCCCCAGGCACTCACTTTCACATGGAGGTGGGACTTCACTCCACACAAAACCCTGCAGGCAGCTGATGTTCCAGGCGGTTTGCCCTCCTCTGAACTGGTGGCCCTGCTGGCACTCGTAGGTGACCACGGTGTCCACAGGGAACAGGTTGCCAGCCAGCCTGGTTTTCAGAGCATTCCTCACATCTGGGGGGTCATCACAGCTGCCTGGGGGTGAGACAGCAATTTAGGGACAGTGCTGCATCACAGGGCCTGGCATGGAGGGAATTTGGGTAAAAAGCACGGGCTCATATTGTTCATTCTGACATGCATTGAATCATCCAGGTTCAGGAAGGGGAAAGAGGGAATGCAAAGGAGACAAACAAAGATATACAGATATTTTTTTCCTCCTGGAGAGAGACTTTTCACAAGGACAAGGGGGAAGGGCGTTAAGATAAAGGAGGTTGGGTTTAGATCAGATATTGGGAAGAAATTCTTCCCTATGAGGGTGATGCCCAGAGAAGATGTGGCTGCCCCAACCCTGGAATAGTCCAAGGAGAGGTTGGACAGGGCTTGGAGCAGCCTGGGTTAGTGAAAGATGTCCCTGCCCATGGCAGGAGGTGGGTGGGATGGGCTTTAAGGTCTCTCCCAACCCAAACCATTCCAGGACTATGATTTTGTGCCACACAACGATTTTCACTGTTACAACAATCTGTAATTTCCAATCAAGCTGATACTCCCTGAGTGTGGGGGGGGGTCCCCAGGGGTGCTGTTCTGTAAGAATCCCCAACCCATGTTGGGCACCAATTGTAAGAATCCCCAACCCACGTTGGGCGCCAACTGTAGGAATCTGTGTCTGGGTGGGCAGTCCAGGTCCAATCCAGCAGCTATGGAGCCCAGCCCACACAATCTTACATGGACAAAGGCAAAAGACCAGAAGCTCTCTTCTCCACATGGAGACCAACATCCTACATTTATTTCCAAGGTGGGAAAGAGGCCAGGTCAGGGGGTTTTAAGAACTTGGAAAGGGGCTGGAGGGGAGGAACCACAGTCAATGGGATACAAGTGAGGAGGGTGAGATGAGGGACTGACCAGGGCAGAGACCACCAGGAGGTACTGCGGAGAGGGGTGTGTGAGAAGAGAGGGGAAGAACAAACCATGTGATATAACATAGACTATTCAGTGCAATATAAAGACTACCCTGTGCAAATCTCCAATCACCCAGTGCAAAACAACAACTAAATATACTATTTAGTGCAATACAACACTAAATAAACTATTTAGTGACCACAGCCAATGGGATACAAGTGAGGAGGGGTGAGGGGAGGGACTGGCCAGGGGAGAGACCCCCACCAGAGGGTACTGGGGAGAGAGGTGTGTGAGGGAAAACCCATGTGATAAGAGAGGGGAAGAGCAAACCATGTGATATAACATAGACTATTCAGTGCAATTACTCAGTGCAAATCTCCAATCACCCAGTGCAAAACAACAACTAAATAAACTACTTAGTGCAGTACAGCACTGTCCCTGCAGACTCACTGCGCTGGCAGAGGGGCAGGGGGGGCTCCCAGAGGCCGTTGTCCTTGCAGGTGGAGGCCTCGCTGCCACTGAGGCTGTAGTGCAGGTTACAGTTGAACACCACCGTGTCCCCAAAGCTGTAGTCAGGCTGGTATCCACTCAGCAGCTTCCCATTCTCCACTCTTGGCTGCTTGCAGGTCACCACTGTACCAGGGGAAGCACACAGGGAAGCAGCAGTTAGGCTCCAGATGGAGATATGAGGGTTGTGATATTGTCCCAGATTGCAAGGCAAGGTGTATTCTATTTGCCATCTGTTAGAGGTGTGGCAGTTTTCTTCTGTTAATTAGGCAGTTTTCTTTATCTCTTCCACAACCAATCCTCCCTCCAGAGAGACATCTGCTGATAACAGACTATTGAATGTCACTGCATGACTGATAAGAGCTACAGCATCCCATTGGGAGATGTGAGCCCAGGGGGAGGAGCCAAGCATTCCTACCTGGATATAATCTGGAGATTCTGGAACACCAGCCAAGCATTCCTACCTGGATATAATCTGGAGATTCTGGAACACCAGCACAGCTTCTGCACTGGATTGCCCAGAGGAACAGCAGCTGCCTCTGCCCCTGGATCTTCAGAGGCAGAGACTGCACCTTTCTCCAGGATCCCTGCTCCAGCAGAACCAGCCCTGGCACTGCAGGAGGGCTGAGCCACAATTCCAATGGTTCTGCTGCCAACAGCCTGACCCACAGGGTGTCAGGCTGGGTTCTGACTCTGTCAGTGCTGTTTTGGTTTACTGCATTGTTTATTTTATCCTTTTATTTTCTTCCCTAATAAAGAACTGTTATTCCTGCTACCATATTTTTTGCCTGAGATGCCCTTAATTTCAAATTTATAACAATTTGGAGGGAGGGGGTTTACATTTTCTATTTCAGGGGAGGCTCCTGCCCTCCTTAGCAGACTCCTGTCTTTCCTGAGACAGATATATGGGATATATGGGTTTTGAAAAAAACCCCATCACCTTTTTCAGAAGGGCTGAAAACAGCAGCGGGGTGACGTGGTGGTTTTCTACATCTTGCCCCAAGTTACAGCAGGGGTTTTTAAGGCAAAGCATAAAGAGAACCCAGAGGAGCAGGTTTGGGAATTCTTTGCAGCCGTTCTGTTTCACAGCAGGTGAGAGGGATCCCCTGCCCTGTGGGCACAGTGAAATCCCACTCCCACCTCCCTGCTGACACTGTGACCGTGAGGGGAGACCCCAATTCCTGTCACAGCTGCCACACTCAGAGGGTCCCATCTGCAAGAGGTGATTCCATTCCAGCAGGATGGAGGGGAGAGGAGGTTCCAAGGGAGGAAACAGCAGAGCAGGAGCAGGCAGCAGCGCAGGGGCTGGTGCTGGGATGTGGGAGCAGCTCACCTTTGCATTCTGGAGCTGGGCTGCTCCACACACCGTTCAGGTTGTCCTTGCTTGTGCAGAAAATGGAGGCCTCTCCCAGCAAGGAGAAAGGTCTCTCTCCCATCCTGGGCTTGTGGCACTGGTAGGTGACAGAGTCCCCATACTGAAAATACTCCTTGTCCATCCCATTGTGCTGCCCATTTGCTATTTCTGGAGGGGGTGCACAGGGAATTGCTGTGGAAAAAGGGGAAGATCATCATGGGAATGAGAAGAAGACAAAAAAAAGAATTTAATTTATTTTGAACCAAAGATCTGGCCAGAAAAATGTGGAAACAGGAGGTAGCAGAAGGGTCAAAAATCAAAGGCAGGTCCTGAGGAGCTGCACCAGCCCCGAGCTCTGGCTGGGCACTGAGGGGGTTTGGGATATCCCAGGCTCAAATGTAGCTGCATCTCTCCCAGAGAGTGAATGAACATTTCTGCAGGAAGGGAAACACAGATTAAAAATGCCTTTCTAGGCTCCACCATGTCAAAATCCTGGGCAGATGCCAAACTGCAGATGCCACTGAGATACCAAAATCCTCAGCAGAGCAACACAACAGCCTCTTTATCCAGCCCCAGCCACATTCCAGATAATTAAAGAATAGATAATTAAGGAGCTTTGCTTACCCTGACAAATGGGAATTTCTCTGTCCCAGGTAAGAACCTCATTTCTGAACACACATTCAATCTCAGAGTCTCCAATCAGCCTGTACCTGTGTGAGACAGGGGAGAGGGAATTACTCCACAGACTCCGTCCTGATGTGTTACCCACATCACCACCAGCAAGGTTTGGGCTCCTTTGTCAGAATTCCAGAGATCAGAAATTGGTCAGAAAGTGTCACTTCCTCAAGGACACACTGGCTTTTGACAAAAACATTTTTTTAATTTAAAAAAATGACACGTTTCTAAGGAAATGAGTAATCTTTATCAACTACTTACAGCTCTGAGCTCAGTATTCACATCTTTCCTTCAAAAGGACCCTGAAACATTGGGAATGGTTTGAAAACAGCCAGGAGGGTGAACCTGAGTTTGGGAAGAACTGCCTCAAAGTAGGAGATTAAGACATTCACAGTCAGTCTTAAAGCTCTCAAAGGAAAGCTTAAAAGGTATTTCAGTCAGGGTCTGCAATTACCTACATGGGGGAGGCTCTGACAGCAAAGAGGGGAAAAAGCTTTGGAAAACTGGCTGGAGAGGAAGAAGCCCTGTGGCCCAGGTGCTCGTGGCTTACCCAGTGTTGCAGGTGAAGTTCACTTTGGTACCAAAGGTGAACGCTTCAGGCAGGACCAGTCTGCCATTAACCGGCTCCCCGGGGTAGCTGCACGCCTTGGCTGGGGACAACAGGGCTCCAGTCAGCTCCCAGCTCAGGTTCTTGGCAGGAGAGCCAAAGAATTGCCCAGTTCTGAGCCAGGGGATGGAGCAGACACCTCCAGATGTCCCCTCAACCTGAGGTTATTCTGTGACTCCTGGTGCTGGCCAGACCTGCCCTATGAGCTGCTGCCTCTGGGCTTTGCAGAGACCTGTGGCACCATCTCTTCCCAGCTAAAGGGCCCTCCCTCTGCAGCTCCAGTGCTTTTCTAGACACAGGGGCTCAAAATGCCTGAGCAGAAGGACATCCTTTGAGTCAGCAGTGAAGCACAGCCAGCACCAAAGGTGATTTCAGCTCCTGCCATCACTGCCAGCACCCAGAGGAACAAACCCAGTGCTTCCCTTCAGGTCACTCATTGCCACCATCCCCAGGGCTCGCTTTGTGTTCTTCTCCAACAGAAGGAGCTGGCTGCATCAGCAATCAAAACCAATGCCACAGAATCCCAGAATGGTTGGGGAGGGGCCCTAGAGATGATCTTGTACCAACCCAAGTGTCACTGTCATATTTTCTGGAAAATCCCTTTGCCCAGGATTCTTCTCCTGAGAAGCCTCAGAGAAAAATGAAAACAATAATTATCTGATTGGCTTCTCCTGTGTTTTGCTGCTTTGAAATGTGGTTTGGACATTGTTTACCAACAGGTGCATGTTTCATTGGTCGCATGTGAATTGTTTTTACTTATTGGCCAATTATGGTCAAGCTGTGTTGGACTCTCAGAAGGGAGAGTCACGAGTTTTCATTATCATTCTTTCCAGCCTTCTTTCTCTGTTCTTTAGTATTCTTTTATCTCAGAATCTCTGCTGGTCAGAGTGACTCTGAGATACATACAAGCCTCTTTTCCCAACCCAGCAGTCAAAGGAGGAGTCAGAATTCTTCTGTTCTCGTTCCAAAGGTTGTTTATTGTTTCTTATCTATAAAATTCTTTCTCTGACCTGCTGAGATCTGTCTGGCAGGTTGGGTTGAGGCACACTGCCCGCCTCAGAGGTGGTGTTGTCTTTTTATACTAAAATCTACATGTACAATATTTACAATTACTTTCCAATAGCTATCACCTGTGTTAGTGAGCTTCTACTCTAAACCAATCTAAAAGTGCCAACATCACAGCAGAAGATGGAGGCCAAGAAGAAGGAGAAAGACTGGACGCGCCCAGATTCCTCCATCTTGCCCCCTGAACTCCCATTCTAAAAACCCCAAAAATATATTTTTCACCCCGTGACAAACTAACTATCATTCTACTAAAACTTTCTTGACTTGTAATTCTTCATGTAAAGGTTGGTAATTGTTTTTCCAAGGGCTAAATCAAAGGCACAGGGGTCTGGGGCTCTGTGCCAAGGTCTCTGAGCCCCCTGGGCAGGGGCTCGAGCCCTCCAGGGCAGCCAGAGGAATTTCCTGTGTTCCAACACTTTTAGTGTAGTTTCAGTATAGTATTCCTGAATACCATATAATATCATAAAATAGCAAATCAGCCTTCTGAGAACATGGAGTCAGATTCATTCCTTCCTCCTCCATCCGGGGACCCCGAAACCACCACACCCAAGGGCAGGGACGCCCCCAGACACACTCACGTATGCAGATGTCATTGGATCCACGCCACAGCCCGCTCACTCCACAGGTGAGGACGTTTGGAACGTGAGCATTTCTCACATAGCCTGGCCTGCAGACAAACTCAATCCTGGAGCCATAGGGGAAGAACTCGATGCCCTCCAGCCGCCGCTTGGGCTCTGCTGACGGTGATCGTGGTGGAGAGGGACAGCGACCTGGGGACACAGGGCCCTGTCACCATGACAGCTTCTGAAAAATCCTCTTTGCCCAGGATTTTCTCCTGGGAAGCTGAGAAGCCTCAGAGAGGAATGAAAACACCCGTGATATCTTCTGAAAAATCCTCTTTGCCCAGGATTTTGCTCCTGGGAAGCTGAGAAGCCTCAGAGAGGAATGAAAACACCCGTGATATCTTCTGAAAAATCCTCTTTGCCCAGGATTTTGCTCCTGGGAAGCTGAGAAGCCTCAGAGAAAAATGAAAACAATAATTCTCTGATTGCTGCTCCTGTGTTTTGCTGCTTTGGAATGTGGCTTGGACATTGTTTACCAACAGGTGTGTGAAAAATGCGTATTTTATGATTGGCTTTTTGCAAATATTAAAATCAATATTATATGTGTTATGTTAGAAAGTTATGCTGTATTAATTCTCTTAAGTAGTGTGTTAAATATAGTTTTAGGTTATAATGTTAAAATAGAAACCATGCATGCGAGATATTTTTTTAAGAAAGGAATGAGGTACTTGCACCAGATAGCAGGCACAGGACACCTAAATCTTTCAGAGAAAAAGAATTTATTGCTCCCTTATCAGGAGAAACAAACTTCTTCCTGCCTTGCTCAGTTCTGAAGATGCCATCAGGATTAAGAAGAAGCTGATCCTGCCCAGACAGAATCCTGTGTTTGAATGGAATTTATGCATCATATATGAGGTATATGAATATGCAACAGACTGTTACTTTTAAGGGTTAATCCTCTGTTAATGTGGGTCCTTTTTTGGGCTTATTTTGCCCAGAAAAAGGTACCCGGACTGTCCATAACTCTTTGTTTTTATTGTCTCGTATTGTCCTAATCCAAATTGTCCAAATTTTTATTACTCTAATTATATTGCTATTTTTATAACCATTTTATTACTATTAAACTTTTTAAAATTTTAAAAACAAGTGATTGGCATTTTTCACAAGGCGAATGTTTGATTCTTTCCATGTGAATTGTTTTTAATTAATGACCAATCACAGCCAGCTGTGTCAGACTCTGAGGAGTCAGTCACGAGCTTTCATTATCGTTCTTGTGAAGCCTTCTCATGTATCCTTTCTCTTTCTTTAGTATAGTTTTAGTATAATATAATATAATATGATATAACATAATATGATATAACATATATAATATAATATAATATAATATAATATAATATAATATAATATAATATAATATAATATAATATAATATAATATAATATAATATAATATAATATAATATAATAATCAATCATATCATATCATAATAAATCAGCCTTCTGAGAACATGGAGTCAGATTCTCATCTCTCACCTCGTCCTGGGGACCTCACAAACACCACAAGCCCATGTCACAGATTGTTCTGGTTTGTTCCCCTCAGCGCCCCAAAGCAAAGAGAAGAGCAGCCTGTGGCTGGCAGGGATCTGACCCCTCCAGTCCCACTCCTTGCATCTCACCCAGCAGATTCAAAGGCTGGACACAAAGTCCAGATGAAGCATTTCTTCTCCTCACTTGGTATAAATTATTGCACTTTTGCAGCTAAAATAGTTTTGTACCTGCTTCCCACAGAAAGAAAAAAACAAAAAGGCAAAGGAAGAGCTGATCACAAAGATTTACAGAGCCCTTGAAATGCACAGGCAATGAGGAAAGGAGAAGGATTCAAGTCTTGTAAAGCCCAGGAGAAGGTTTTCCTGCAGGGGGTCTCAGTTCATCCTGGTGGACTCATTCACTTACTGTGGACAGTGACAACGAGAGCAGCAGTGAGGAGTGACCCAAGCACAGCTGCACAGCTCCTCTGCCTCCCCAGCTCCAAAGCTGACATGATTATTCCTGCCTGGAGGTCCCACAGATGTCACCACATTCCCCTCCTGGGACAGTACCTGTGTAGACAGCAGAGGGGTATTTGGGGTGTTTATACTCAGCTACATGCACAGGTCTTATTTCTGCACCCCTGAGCAGTTCCTACAGTCGCAGGAGAGGAGTAGAAGGAGAAGGAGCTGAATTTCTATTCTGGAAACTTACAGGTAAAACACTTTATTGGTAGTAATCAATCTCTTTGGAAGGAAATAAATTCCTAGTCAGGAGAAATCCTACAGGGGTCACCAGGAAAGCTCCCTGACAATGAAATCACCCTCGGGGAGAGAGAGAAGTATCCAAGCAAAAAGTTCCATCAGTCTGTGCAAATATTCCCTGAATAAAGTGAATATTTCAAGCTGTAAGGGTCACAGGCCAATCAAACCAAACTGCTTTACAAAATGGAATTTAAGTGCAATTTGCACTCACCTGGCAGCCCTAGGGAGCTGGAAGAGCCCTCTCTGTGTTACCCAGGGTCACTCACGAGCCTGAGCCCTCCCAAAGTTCCAGAATCTCCCAGTGCCTGCTTCCCTCCTGGGAATGAGGGTCCCCCTCCCTGCTCCCTGCCCTAAACCCAACACCTCCCATGCCTGCTTCACTCCTCTGCCTTTCTCTCAGCCCTTGGCACCCCTTGTGGATTAATCTGATTTAATTTCCTGACCTGGGTGCCTGCTGGAGCTGCACACGAGCTCCCAGGGGCAGCCCTTGGAGCTGCCAGGCTGGGATTTGTCTTACCTGGGGCTGTGGAGGCAGGAGATGGAGAGCCCTGGTGTGTTCAGCACTCACAGGATGGAACAGGGACTGCTCTCCTCCAGCCCCCAGGCAAAGGAGGAGTTTTATAGTGCCCACACGCTCAGATCTGGCTCCACAATGAGAAACTTCAATTCTGCAGAAATCAGAGCTGGCCCGCTGACCCATAAATCATTAACTCCTCCTGAGCAAGAAGGAGTTTATTCCACCCCCAGGGCAAAACCCTACAAAACTGAATGCAACCCAAGCAGATGTTGAAATTGTTTGGATTTACGTGTGGAGGTGCCAAGTCTTTGAAATAATCCTTGCTGAGCTGCTCCACTGGGAGCTCGGGTGCACTGAGGGTTGTCCTCAGGGGAGCTGCTTCACCCCAGGGCAAGGCCAGCCTGAGTTCATCCCCTTTTCTTGGGTTTTGCATTGCTGAAATGGATCCTGAGGTATTAAAAAGTCTTTTTTCCCAGCTCCAAGACTGAAGAAGTCGAGATTCCTCTGCTCTGGTTTTCAAGGTTGTTTATTTTCTTTTATCTATTCCATTCTTTCTCTGACCTGCTGAGATCTTTCTGGCAGGTCAGTTCATGGCACACTGACTGCCCTTGGGGTGGTGTTAGATTTTTATACTAAAAACTACCTGTACTTTATTTACAATAATTTTCCAATACCTATCACCTATGTTAGACAGTTTGTCTCTACTCTAAACCAATCCAAAAGTGTCACCATCCCAGCAGAAGATGGAGCACAAGAAGAAGAAGAAGGAGAAAGACAGAACCCAGATTCCTCCATCTTGCCTCTTGAACCCCCATACCGAAAACCCCAAAATTCTACTTTTTCACCCTGTGACAAATTCACTATCATTCTATTCAAACTCTTGTGGCTTGTAACTCCTCACACAAAGTTGGTAATTGTTTCCATGGGTTAAAATCAAAGGCACAGGTGTTCTTACTCCGTGCCAAGGCCTCTGAGCACCTTGCCAGTGTCTCAAGCCATCCAGGGCAGCCAGAGGAATGTCCTGTTCTGACACCCTCTGATCTCAGGAAGCCATGGCCAAAAGGGGCTTCAGAGAGCATTCCAAAAGGGGTTTCAGAGAGATTCCAAAAGGGGTTTCAGAGACCATTCCAAAAGGGGTTTCAGAGAGATTCCAAAAGGGGTTTCAGGGAGCATTCCAAAAGGGGTTTCAGGGAGCATTCCAAAAGGGGTTTCAGAGACCATTCCAAAAGGGGTTTCAGAGAGATTCCAAAAGGGGTTTCAGAGAGAATTCCAAAAGGGGTTTCAGAGAGCATTCCAAAAGGGGTTTCAGAGACCATTCCAAAAGGGGTTTCAGGGAGCATTCCAAAAGGGGTTTAAAGGGGGTTTCAGAGAGCATTCCAAAGGGGGTTTCAGAGAGCATTCCAAAAGGGGTTTCAGAGACCATTCCAAAATGGGTTTCAGAGACCATTCCAAAAGGGGTTTCAGAGAGATTCCAAAAGGGGTTTCAGAGACCATTCCAAAGGGGGTTTCAGAGAGAATTCCAAAAGGGGTTTCAGAGACCATTCCAAAAGGGGTTTCAGAGACCATTCCAAAAGGGGTTTCAGGGAGCATTCCAAAAGGGGTTTCAGAGAGATTCCAAAAGGGGTTTCAGAGAGATTCCAAAAGGGGTTTCAGAGACCATTCCAAAAGGGGTTTCAGAGACCATTCCAAAAGGGGTTTCAGGGAGCATTCCAAAAGGGGTTTCAGAGAGATTCCAAAAGGGGTTTCAGAGACCATTCCAAAAGGGGTTTCAGAGACCATTCCAAAAGGGGTTTCAGAGAGCATTCCAAAGGGGTTTCAGAGACCATTCCAAAAGGGGTTTCAGGGAGCATTCCAAAGGGGGTTTCAGAGAGCATTCCAAAGGGGGTTTCTCTATTGGAGCAGCTCCAGCTGGAGCTCAGCAGCCCAGGAGGGCACCGGGAGCATCGCTCGGAGCTGAACACACAGAGAATTCCAGAATGGTTTGCTTGGAAAGCACCAAGCTCAGTTCCATGGACACCCTGGGATCCTGACCTCCAGGAAAAACACCCTTAAAGGTGAGAAGACATGGGGAACACCAGTAGGGTTTAAGAGCCCCCATTTTCAACTCAGATTCCCAAACCAGAGCACACCTGCCCACCCCTGCAGCCTCTCTTCCTCCAAACACATCCCAGAGACTCCCTGAGCTCCTCAGAAAACCATCACCCAGTGGAGAGGTAGAGCAAACAATGGAAAAGAACAGAGGACATTATCTGTGTTTTTTTAAGTCTCTTTATTGTAAATAAACACTGACAGATTTTTATGCTCAAGTGCACAGAGCACACAACACACAGCACGAGCTGACAGACACTGCAGCTTTTAAACCTATAAAAAAACCAAAACACTTAGAAGGCAGCAGAACAGGAAAGTTCACAGCTGGGTGAGATCCCTCTGACCAAACACTCCAGGCAGAGCTGCAGTGCAAACAGAGCAGGGGACAGACAGCAGGGGTGGCACTGGCACTGCTCACCCTCAGAGGGGCACAGGGTGAGCCTTGGGGACACCCCCAGGGCAGGTGGCCCTGGCCAGGCTGCTGCAGGTGCCTCTCCTCCCTCAGCTGCTCCTCGGCAGCCGAGCCAGGCTGGGTTTCAGTGTCACCCACCCGAGCTGCCGGGAAGGGGACACCTGGCAGAGGTGGCAGCTCTGAGGTCCCAGCCAGTGTACACAGAGCAGCTCAGCCAGGCTGGCCTGAACTCTTTCCCCCCATTTTGCAGATTCTCCCAGAGATGGAGCAGTTTTTTAGCCCAAGTGCTCCTTTTTCTCTGCAGTGACACACAGGGGCAGGCAGGTCCCACCGAAGGTGACAGCAGCCAGCTCCACCTGTGCTGCTTGAAACAGAGGCACAGAAAATCAGGGGGTCACAAAACCCCCCTCCCAGTCCTGGGGAAATGCTCAGGAAGGTGCCAGGCTCACATTCACACCTCCAAATCTACCTCCAAACCTCCAAATCCACCTCCACACCTCCAAATCCACCTCCACACCTCCAAACCCACCTCCAAACCCACCTCCACCTGCCCAGCCCACGGCACTGATCCCACTGACAGCAGGAGCTCCTGCTGAGCTGTTCCACCAAAAACCATCCCAAAAATCCTCGTTGTGCAAGGTCTGTTTGTTCTGGGGTGTTTGCACGCCCGGTGCCAAGGGAAATCAGGTGGTTTCAAGGTAATCCCTGGCACGGGGAGCTGCCAGGAAATGCCCACTGGCATCACCCCAGCCCTGCAGCCCCTCAGGGCAATGATCTGCTCCCAAATCTGCTGCTCTGCTCCGGGTATGTTTGCTTTAAACCATTCCAAGGCTGAAAATGCAGGAGGAAAAAGCTTTAATTAAAGCACTGAGGCACAAACACTGCAGAGAAAGATGAAATTCCACCCCACAGCCCCAAAAGGAGCCACTGACCCAAACTGCAAAACACCAGATTTTCAGCAGTGATTTAAAAAAAAAAGTCACGACCACCAACAACAAATCAACAGCGACATTCACAAATCCCAGCAGGTAAAAATATAGATTTTTTCTTTTTCATCTCCTTACAATCATTTACTGCTCAGTGATATGAACATCCTGAACTCTTCAGCAAGTTATCCCAGCATTTTTGTGTGTAAACATCCTACAGTACATTTTCCACTCCTTTTTCCAGAGCAGGAGGGGTTTGGTCAGAGCAGCCAGCCTGACAAGGACGGGTTTGTGCGTTCAGAGCACTTTGGAGTGTGACAGTCAGGACTGCCATGGACAGGCTCTAAATCTCTTCCTTCAACATTTCTTTCTTTTTTTTTTTCTTTTTTCTGGTTTATTTCTAAGCATAAAAACATTTAAAACCCAAAACCAGACCTGGGGGGGAAAACCCTGAGGAGAAAAACGAATAAAAACTCAATTTCTCACCAGCAAATCTCACCCCTCTGTGGCACAACTGCTTTAGATCAACACGTTCTTCTGCTCCTCAGAAATCCTGAGGGGTCCAGATTTGTGCCTTGGTCCTCTCTATCTCAGTTTTATCAAATTCCAACTCTGGGAGTGTTTAAAACAACCAAGTTTGAGCTCAAAATGCCCAGGTTAAGCCTCAAGCCCTGGGGTTGCTGAGCTCCTCCACAGCCAGGGCATATTTTCCCTGCTGTAGGTATATCCCAACATTTATTTACACATTTAAAATAAGCAACTTCTGGGGCCCAGAAATGCTCAGATAAATCCTGGAGTCACCTGGGAACAGCAGGTCCAGGACAGCCTCCTGCTCTGGACCCAAATGTTCCTTTCTTCACCCAACCTGAGGGTCCTGCCCTTATTGCAAGAACAGCTGGAGTGGGGTGAAATGGAGTTTGGCAAAATGCAAGTCAAGACTTGTGGGAGAGAACTGAAAATTTGGGGTTTGGTGGGGATTGAAGGGAAGGGTTTAAGTTAAGACACGGCCACACAGAGCTGCACCACCTGTGCTCCAAACTCTGCAACAGCTTAAAACTATGAAAGGCAGCATTGGGAACATTCACAGCTTATTCAGAGGCAAGTTAAAAGCTTGTTGTTGGGCCTAAAATTTGATGTAAAATAAAGAAAACTGGTAAAAAACCTTGTGCTTCCTGCAAACCCTGCCCAGGAGCCCTGCTGGTCCCAGCCACGCTCCCATTTTCTGGGGTAAATGGATAAAAACGCCCCCAAAATGCAGGAAAAATGAGTGAGAGGATGGAGTTTAGGTAGGGAGGAGAAGCTAAAATGGGGCTTGAGATGGGATTTAAAGCACTGGGAGCTGTGCTGCTCCCAGAGAGGGGCAGGAGGGTTTATCCCATCTGTCCCTCACAGGAGGCAGCCCTGGGGATGGATGTGCTGATCTGGGTCTCACATGCAAGAAAAAGCCTGGAACAAACATCCAGACAAAAAGGAACTGGCTCAGATAGGGGGGATTCACACCAGCACTCAAGGAGGGAAAGTCAAACCCTACCTGGAGCTCCCTGGATGGCTGAAAACCAGAAAAAAATTCAGTTTGAACTTGGAAATAACTTGGAAATGGAGAACTAAAACCTCGGGAATTTGGCCTGGAAATGCCTTTTCCAAAGAAAAGCTGCCTCAGCGAGTGAAAACATGATTATTTTGTCCTCCCACTCTGGTTAATTTTGGCTCCTGGCCAGGAGGAAAGGCGTGGGACACAATTTCAACACCCAGGGATGTGTTGGCTTAGGAGCACTAAAAGCAGCTTGGAAAATCTCCACAGGAAATCTTCTCCAGCCCCATGGACAGACATTGCAGCATTTGGAAAGAAAAAAGACACAGACAGGCTCTAAAATCACAGTTCAAGGCAGGTACTGGCCAGGGTGGCTCACGGTGCCCCAGGGATGCTCCAGTCCCGGCTCCTCCTGGTGCTGGAACTCCCAGCTGGATCCAAGGGGAAAGCAGGAACTCCTACACTCCTAAAGTGGCCATTTTCTGCAGGGAAAAGAGAAACAGGAGAGGTCACAGCAAGGAAGGCAGGAGGGAGTAAAGCAGGAGGCAGCTCAGCTGATGGAGAGGTGAGTCCAGCTCCATGGAGCTGCTGCCCAGGGCAGGAACCCCCTGAGGATTTGCTTCATCCCTTCCATCCAAGGATTTGCTCCATCCAAGCACAAAAATATGGGAAATGTGTGTAATGGGACCCACGAGGGGTAGTTTTAGATTTTTGGCTTTAAGGCATTTAGAGAATGGTGTGGCAAAAAGCTGATAGGCCAAGAAACACTGAGAATGTGTTGTAATTAGGAAATAATTGGCTTTTGATGGTGATAGTGTGAATTATAGCACCTGTGTTGTCTCACCCTTCAAATAAGACTGAAAATGGAATAAAAGTTTTTAACACCTCTCAGTTGCCCCATCTCTAAGTCAGGAAAAGGCATTGTCTGACACACAAAGACCTGTTTCACTCTTTACATCACCCTTCCGTGTTACCCTGATTTTTTAAGATTTTCTAAGATTTTCTGATGTTTACATTCTTGTAGCAAACTTTCTCACACACTTTCTGTGAATAACTGATTGTTTGGCATTCTTTTATGGAGGAGGAGAAATTTGATGGGCTGCTGGTTTGTCACGGGAGAGGTGGCACTGTCACCCTCCAATCCAGGGTCACTTTTGGAAATCTATAAATGTTGGAGTCAGAAATTAAACCTCTTTCTTTTTTACTTTGGAGATTCCAGAGTCCACGTGGTTTTATTTCATGTCCTAAAGCAACAAGAGCCCACAGATCCCCCAAAGACCCCACAGATGATCCCCCAAAGACCTTGTAGCCCTGTTTATTTACTTATTATTTATATATTTATTATCTTACTTATTATTTATTTTATTTATTATTATTTTAAGGTCTTTTAAGCCTTCTGATGTTTACATTCTTGTAACAAACTTTCTCACACGCTTTCTGTGAATAACTGATTGTTTGGCATTCTTTTATGGAGGAGGAGAAATCTGATGGGCTGTTGGTTTGTCATTGGAGAGGTGGCACTGTCACCCTCCAATCCAGGGTCACTTTTAGAAAACTATAAATGTTGGAGTCAAAAGAAAAAATAAACCTCCCTTTTCTTCACCTTGAGAGCAGCAGTGTGTGCCCTTGTGTTGCTGTAGTGACGCTTCAGCCTCCTGCCAAGCCCCCCTGAAGGGTTCTCCCATTTCAGCCTGAGCCCACACAAGCTCAGAGAGGTGAAGAAGCTCAGGAGGAAGGAGGCAGGTTGGTTTCTCACTTTTATTCACCTTCTCCATGGGGAATGACACTGCCAGAACCACCCAAGAACCATCACAGCGACCACCTTGCAAATTAACCACAAGAAATACGTAGAGCTTTGATAAAACTCCTTCCTCTGCCTCACTCAGGGCCCAACAGACACCAGGAACACGCTCAGACAGTGAAAATCAAAGGTAAATCTGCAATCCAGTGACTCCCACAAAATCCCTGTGAGCAGCAATGTCACCAAACCCTGTCCTGGGACCCTGCCCTGCTCAGCACCATGAGCCACCCCATGTCCTGCTCCAGGGATGGAGCAAGCTGGGCTAAAACCACCATTTCCAGCAGCCAGCACAAGCACAAGCCCAGCTGGAGCCCCTGGATCAGCAGGCTCAGCCCCCACTGAGGTTCCCCAGAATCTCAGGTTTTATCCAGCACAAGATTCCTTCTGCTCCACGGGTTTGTCTTTGCCCAGAGTGGTTTCCATGCAACAGGAATCAAGAGAAATCCAACGTACTAACCCCAAAGAGAGCACACCCAAGCTGCTTGCAGTGGTACTCAGAGGCAAGCATTTCCCTCTGGAGGCTGCAAAGGAAACAGAGAAGCACAGCAGGGCTCATAGTGCATCTTAAAGAGACTGAAATAGGAAAAGCAGCAAAGCAAATGAGGGAGGAGAGAAACAGCCCCAAAATTTCCTGTTGGCCCAGGGCAGGGTTGTGTTGCAGCAGGAGGTGACAGAAGGCAGGGACAGCACTTGGCTGCATAAAAAACTGGGACAAAGAGGGTGTTTGTAACTTTTCCAATCAGGTTTTAGCCCAGAAGCAAAATCCTATCCAGAATTAAACCCCCTGCCAAAACCCTGTGGCAGTGATGGAAAGCTGCCTGCATGGAGCCTGAGTCTGAAAGACTGGCACCACAATTCCAGTTAGATAGGGGGGTTTGGATGTTTTGGGGTTGTTTTGAAGGGGTTTTTCAATTGGTTGTTTTTCCCCTTAATCCAGTCCAGGTTGGATATTTCCATGCAGAAACAGAGACCCTGCTCAAGATCCTGGGGAGGATCTGGATTTTGGAGAGGACTGTCAGAGACATATTTTATGAAAAATCCCTTTGCTAGGATCTTTTCTGCTGAGAAGCTGAGAGGCCTCAGGAACAAAATGTAACCAATGGTTATCTGCTGCTGTGGAATGCAACAGGTGCATCTGGGATTGGTCTCATGGGGTTGTTTCTAATTAATGGCCAATCACAGCCCAGCTGTCTCAGAGTCTCTGGTCAGTCACAAGATTTTATTATCATTCCATTCCTTTCCTTTCAAGCCTTCTGATGAAATCCCTTCTTCTATTCTTTAGCGTAGTTTTATTATATAATTTTCTTTTAAGATATATGAATATATATAATATAAAATTATATATATATATTTATATATAATATAAAATAATATATATTTATATATAATATAAAATAATATATACTTATATATAATATAAAATAATATAATAAATCAGATTGTTTGATGAAACAATGGAGGCAAGATTCTCATCTCTTCCCTTGCTGGGGTTGCCTGCAAATTCAACAGAGGACCCCGGGCAATGGTGAGGAGGGGGGCAGAGGGATGGTGCCCAGATGTTATCCAGATGTCAGCACCTGGACAGTGACTTCCAGCTGTGGCTGCTCAGCCCCTCCTTGAGCTTCCAGGGATGGGAGAGCCCCCCTGGCAAAACCCCATAGCACTGATGGAAAGCTGCCTGCATGGAGCCTGAGTCTGAAAGACTGGCACCACAATCCAGTTGGATAGGGGGATTTTGATGGTTTGGGGTTGGTTTTGAAGGGGTTTTCCAGTTTGTTTGGTTTTTTTTCTCCTTAATCCAACCAAGCCTGGATCATTTCCATGCAGAAACAGAGACCCTGCTCAAGATCCTGGGTCTGGATTTCGGGGAGGACCCCGGGCAATGGTGAGGAGGGGAGCAGAGGGATGGTAGCACCTGGACAGTGACTTCCAGCTGTGGCTGCTCAGCCCCTTCTCGAGCTTCCAGGGATGGGAGAGGCCCCAGCAGGTGGAGGGGTTTGCTGCCCAGGCTGTGGTGCCGCGGGCGCTTTACGGTGTCGGCGCCGGCCCGCGGGGTAAAGCTGTTCCTCCTCATCCTCACAGGGCTCTGCCTGCTGGGGAGCTCGTGCTGATCCCACACAGAGGGAATCACCAGGAATGAAAAGGGGGAACCAGAGTTTAAAGCCACGTCCCAACACCTCCAGCACCCCACCCCGAGTGACCCCGCACCGGGCTGGGCCTTCCCCAGTCTGCAGCAGCTTGGGAAACAACTTCATCCAGCTTGGAGACAACTGGAAAGTGGTTTTTCAGCAGTTTTACTTCCCTTTGGGACCTTTGTTTTGCTTAGGTGGCTCTGTTTGGGTGGTGTTGGTTTTTTTTTTGGTTTTTTTTGGGTTTTTTTGTTTGTTTTCCTTTCTCTCTGCACGAAGAATTTAAGTGAAAAAAATAAAAGCAAACAGAAAACTCTCCCTTCTTCTTGTTTCTTCTGCCCCAAAAGCAGCTGTGTTACCCAAGCAAAGCAAAGAACAGAAGCAGCCTCCAAGTGGGCAGCAATGATTTCCATGCAGGGGTCACAGAGAAGCTGGAAAAGTGATAAATCCCAGAGTGGTTTGGGTTGGAAGAACCTTTAAACATCATGAATCCAACCCCCTGTGAGCAGGGATATGCTGGAAACCACGAGGATCCACACAAACCATGCCCCATGTCCTCAGTTTGGCATTTGACAGCTCCACAGAGCCTCCAGGCCCAGCTGCAGGTTCCCAATTTCCCCAGGCCCTCAGCACAAAAGAATAACCAGATCCCAGCCCAAGGGATCCTCACAAATTACAACAAAAAGCCTGAACGGATAAAACCTAAAATCAGATGCATTCAGAGTTCCTGTGAGCCAGCAGAGCTGGTTTGTGCTCTCTAATTGGGGGAATTAATTAGAGGCAATCACTGAGGCTTTCCTTACAGTCCCTTTGGAAAACAGGGTTTGCAAAGTCAAGGCCCTCAGACATCAGCAGCTCCCCCAGATTTTTGAGGTGGTTACAAGGTGGATTTAAATAGCAATTTAAACAATGGCAACAGGAATTTAAATAACAGCAGAGAGACAATTTCAGAAAGAGAAAACTCATCAAGACAAGGAGAAAAATCCACTTTAACCCTTTTGCCAAGTCTTTTTGAAATTACCCATAAGCATCAGCAACAAACACTGCACTGAAAACTGAGAACAAAACCTGGAGTTTAAAATCTTATGCCCTAAATTCGACCATTTCTGCTCCCTACAACAGCTCTGAAAAATATCCCCCCTGGCCTGGGAAGCACCTTAGAATTAATTCTGCTTTTGGGGGTTACTTCTGAAGAGAATCCTTCTGCTCCCTGAAAGGCAGCAGGCAGTCCTAGCAAGTGCTTAAGAGGGTTTGTGGCTTGTTTTGGAAAAGGTGGAGCCAGAGGGGTGCAGCAAAACTTACTGAGTTCAGGGAGGGCTTTTCCCGGTGGGTGTTCACCGCTTCCACATCCATGGTGATTGTCTCCACTTTGCAGCCTTCACCCAAGAGAAAGAGAGGTTTATGTGAGTAATTTATCAAAAACACAGCAGGGAGAATGAACAGGAGTAAATATCTTATTTATAAAAATATCCCAGCTCGTAAATCCACAGTTCACCCCACAAACAGAATTTTACACTTGGTGGTTTTCAAGTGTGAGAGCACAGCCCTGAGTTGTTTGGGCTGCACAGAAAAGCCAATTTTAACTGACTGCACCCCAAGTTTGGAGGCACAGCCTTCCTCACCCACAGGGAAAATCCAATTCATTAAAAGAGAGGCCAGGGGAGAAGACCCTGCACCTCCACATCTGCTCCCCACCCCTCCAGATCCCTTTTCTATTTTAACTTTTTGTATATTAACCAGGAAATAACCTCTTTATGTATTACCAGAAGCTTCTAGAGCACGGCCAGGTGCTGCCACACACGGACCCAAACCTGCCCACAACATCCCCACACACAAACCAGGAGAGGAACTCAAATTAAAAATGAAAATAAAGCAGTTATTTACCATAGGCAACGGGTGTGAGCTTGAAAATGGTGTGGAGGGGGCAGCGCAGGTAGGGCAGCTCATCTAGGGCACAAAAAGGGGTTCTGGGGTCACCTGGGATGCCACAGCCCCCCTGTCCCCTCCCCAGCCCCACAGCAGCACTGGGATGTCCCTGCCCACCACAGAGGGGTTGGACCAAACCCCTGTAAGGGTTCTTTTAACCCAAACCATTCCAGGGTTGAATGGGAATTGTCCTGGGGCTGGCAGCCTGTGGATGGCACCCAGACTAAACCCCTTAAAGGGTTCTTTTAACCCAAACCATTCCAGGGTTGAATGGGAATTGTCCTGGGAATAAGCCTGTGGATGGCACCCAGATTAAACCCTTTTTAGGGTCCTTTAACCCAAACCATTCCAGGACTGAATGGGAATTGTCCTGGGAGTGAGAGCCTATGGATGGCACCCAGACTAAACCCCTTAAAGGGTTCTTTAACCCAAACCATTCCAGGATTGAATGGGAATTGTCCTGGGAGTGAGAGCCTATGGATGGCACCCAGACTAAACCCCTTTAAGGGTCTTTTTAACCCAAACCATTCCAGGGTTGAATGGGAATTGTCCTGGGAGTGAGAGCCTGTGGATGGCACCCAGATTAAACCCTTTTAAAGGTCTTTTTAACCCAAACCATTCCAGGATTGAATGGGAATTGTCCTGGGGATGAGAGCCTATGGATGGCACCCAGACTAAACCCTTTTAAGGGCTCTTTTAACCCAAACCATTCCAGGATTGAATGGGAATTGTGCTGGGGATGGCAGCCTGTGGATGGCACCCAGATTAAACCATTTTAAGGGTCTTTTTAACCCAAACCATTCCAGGATTGAATGGGAATTGTGCTGGGGATGAGAGCCTATGGATGGCACCCAGATTAAACCATTTTAAGGGTTCCTTTAACCCAAACCATTCCAGGATTGAATGGGAATTGTGCTGGGGATGGCAGCCTGTGGATGGCACCCAGACAGGCACTCAGGACAGCAGTGACACACAGAAAATCAAAATACAGGAGCTGGAAATGAGGCTGGAGGCCAGGGTGGCTCAGGGCTCTGGGCAGTGCTGGGTTAGGGGTTGGATCCCACCCTCTAAAAGGGCTTTTCCAACCCAAATAATTCCATAATTCCATTTCCAGTGCTCAGGGCCAGCCAGAGGAAACCTCTCCAGCGGCACATGGCTGGGAAAGCACCTCAGCAACAGCTGCCACAGGCCCACAGGAGATTCATTCAGAGCTGTATTTAAAAGTTTATCAAGTTTTTTAGAAGTTTATTAATCATTAAAAGTTTTATGAAGCTCTAGTGCCACTCACTGGAGCTTGCAGGACACTGGAACCCTCCAGGTGTGTGTGCTGTGCAAGAAACCAGCATTGCCCTGGGGTGGAGCACTCCTGCCACCCCTGCCAGGCCACTGAGGCTCTTTAATTCATCAGAAAATGATGAATTTTTTATTTTTTTTTACATTAAAAATCAGTCCCTTACACATTCTGTAAGCACTGCTGCTGAAAACAGCTCCAGGAACAACACCTGGGCAGCACAACAGCAGCACAGCAGCACATCCCTGGGGAGCTCCTTGCACTGCTGCAGTGCAAGGGTTAAAGCACTGCTGAAACCTTTCCTTTCCTCCTTTTTTAAACAGCTTGTTAAAAAAACCCACCTAGTTAAAAAAATAAAATAAAACTAAAAATAAATAAAAATAAATAAAATAAAATAAAAATAAAATAAAAATAAAAATAAAATAAAAATAAAATTAAAATAAAATTAAAATAAAAATAAAATAAAAAATAAATAAAATAAATAAAAATAAAATTAAAATAAAATAAAATTAAAATAAAATTAAAATTAAATAAAATAAAAATAAAATAAAAATAAAAATTAAATAAAATAAATAAAATAAAATTAAAATAAAAATTAAAAAATGTAAAAAAATAAAATTAAAGTAAAATAAAAAAATAAAAAATAAAATAAAAATAAAAATAAAATTAAAATAAAAATAATAAAATAAAATAAAATAAAAATAAAATAAAAATAAAATAAAAATAAATAAAATAAATAAAAATAAAATAAAAATAAAATAAAATTAAAATAAAATAAAAATTAAAAAATAAAAAAACAAAATTAAAGTAAAATAAAAAAATAAAAAATAAAATAAAAATAAAATTAAAATAAAAATAAAATAAAAATAAAATAAAAATAAAATTAAAATAAAATAAAAATAAAATAAAAATAAAATAAAAATAAAATAAAAATAAAATAAAAATAAAATAAAAATAAAATAAAAATCCACCCAGTCATTCCAAACCACCCTCTCAAAAACCCCATGAGGGGAAGGAGGGAGAGGAGCCATCCCTTTATTTTTGTACCTGCACTCTTGTCAAGAAAATAAGCCAGGAGGCACCTCATAACTGCCTGGTGGGAGATAACCAGGACATTTCCTTGCCTTTCCAGCTCCATAATTACTGGCTCCAGGCGTTGCACCAAGTCCTGGTAGGACTGGAAAACCAAACAGGAATTGGTCAAGGGGTTGTGTAAACACAGGGTTAACCAGGGGTGGCAATTAACACAGTCACATTCAGGGAAATATCAGTTAAAGCAGCAGAAAGTTCAAGGAGGTTATGGGGAGTGGGGTAAAAATAGTAAAAAAAAAACCAAAAAAGGCAACAGCAGAAAGTGAAATTCAGTGTCAGAAGCCTCAGACCGTGGGAGGGCTCAGATTACTGGGAACTCAATGAGTGCAGTCAGGGAAAAAACCAAATAAAATAGTAAATGATTCATTCAAACAGGTTGTGAGTAAAGCCAGAAGTGACTTAAAGCCAGAAATGACTCCAGGCCACACCCATGATAATTTTGTTTCCCAGGTGGTTTCTCAGTGACAATTCTGGGATGCAGAACCCCCTTGATGGTGTCTGAGGGCAGCACCCAGCAAGTGGCCAAATTAATGGATTGAAAAGCATCATCTGCACACCCCAGTGAGGGAAATCAAGAAACATTTCCCCCAAAAGAGAACTGGGCATCCTAATGTTTTCATTAGGATGAAAATTTGCAATTTTGCATCGAAATATTGGCAGAATAACTTCAAATTGAGTCAGTTTTAAGTCCAACCCCCCACATAAATGTTTGTTTCACTGCCCGTGTGTTGTTGTTGTTGTTTAGGCTCCTCACCTCCCCTCCAGGATAACGATAAAGATATTTCTCCTGATCCCTCATGGCAAACTCCTCTGGATACTTGGCTTCAATTTCTGCATAGGTCATTTCTTCACAGACCCCCTGAGGGAAGGAGAAACTGCTTACCACAAACCTCATTTCATCAGAGGGCCAGCAGGGAGGGCAGGAAAAGCAGAGGCTGAGGTCAAGATCCCTTTTTGGCATGGAAATTTTGGGTGCTGCAAGTGACCCAGCCCTGCCCCCAGCGTGGGTGCCAGGCTGGTTTGAAGAGGCTGGGCTTTGGTTTTCTCTCAAAACCAAAAAAAAACCAGATTGCATCCCTGGTGTTTGCCAGGGATGAAAAATGAGCCATCACTTCCCCAGCAACCACCCTGCAATTTCCTGAGAGAAGCAGAGTGGGAGCAGCAACCTTTGCCCAGGCAGGAGGGTGTGACAGATGTCTGGGATGTTCAGTGTTCTTTTCCTCCTCCACACCACCTGGAATATCCCCAGCAAGACCTGGCAGCTCTCAACACTCTCAGCCCTCTAAAAACCACCCCAAACCCCAGCCTGGAAGGCTGAGGTCCATGACACAAAAACATGGCTATAAATCAACAGAAATGGTGGGGTTTTGTTTGTTTTTTTCTGCTTTTGTTGGGGTTAAGATTGAAGGCACTTGAGATGTTTAGACTTAGGTGTTTATTGCTTCCTATTAGTGCTACAGCCTCAGAGCAAGGAGTTCTGTAGTCTTTTATTAGTAAGGTATACAATGGCAAATTATTTTTTGTTATAAGGTTTTTTAAGGCTAAACTATTTAATTAGGAAATTATACCCTAGATTATTTTTCTTTTTAACCCAAAGCACTGATCTCTTGAAGCCCTCAGTGTGGACTTGACTGTTTAATTATAAAATACCACCCAAACCCATGGAGAAGAAGAAGAAGAAGGTGAAGAAGAAGAAGGTGAAGAAGAAGAAGGTGAAGAAGAAGAGGGTGAAGAAGAAGAGGGTGAAGAAGAAGAGGGTGAAGAAGAAGAAGAAGGTGAAGAAGAAGAAGAAGGTGAAGAAGAAGAAGAAGGTGAAGAAGAAGAAGAAGGTGAAGAAGAAGGTGAAGAAGAAGAAGAAGGTGAAGAAGAAGAAGAAGGTGAAGAAGAAGAACAACCTGTCTCTGCCCTAAAACCTCCATCCTGCTTCATATTTATTATTATATTCTAAAACTCTAAACTTTAAGTTTTCTACTCTGTGATATCACACACTTCTAACCAACTCCACACCCATAATCCCAGTGCTATTAATCAATTTTTCTCCACAGTCTCAGGTCAAATGCAGTGCTCTGCACAGAAATGTTAAAATTCTCACCATCCAGGGCTCCAGCATAAATCAGCTGGGTTTATGGTGATTAATTTGGCTTTAAACATTATTCCCCAGCCAAACCCATGAAGAAGGAAAAAAAAGGTGAAGAAGAAGGAAGAAGGTGAAGAAGTACAACCTGTCTCTGCCCTAAAATCTCCATCTTGCTTCATCTTTGTTACTATATTCTAAAACCCCAAACTCCAAGTTTTCCACCCTGTGATATCACACACTTCTAACCAACTCCACACCCATAATCCCAGTGCTATTTATCAATTTTGGAAACCTTCTCCACAGGTCAAATGCAGTGCTCTGCACAGAAAATTGAAAATTCTCACCATCCAGGGCTCCAACAAATATCAGCTGGGTTTATGGTGATTAATTTGGCTTTAAACATTATTCCCCAGCTAGAAAAGCTGAGGTTTTTAAGCAGCCTCTCACTCACAGCATCAATCTCGTTGAGGATCTTCCACTGCTCATAGAGCACCCCCAGGCACTCTGCAGTCTGGATTGTCCTCTTCAGCTGGCTCGTCCACACCTTCAGGTCCACAATCTCCTGCTCCTCAATGAACTTCTTCAGAGCCTGGGAAAACTGCAGAGAAAAGCTCCAGGGAGGTTAGGAGGAGGGTGATGCCTTTTTGGGCTCCCTAAAAACACAGGCCAGACTAAATTAAAGGAATAAAAAGCAGGTATGTTTATTGAATATAAATATTCAGGTGTATTTAGGGCAGAAAAATCCCCCCAAAGGCTACACCCCAAAATGGACCATGGGTCACAGGTTTTCACACTTTTATAAGTCTGGGTCATTTGCATGTTGGAGGTTAATCTGCCAATTACAGCTTCAGGTAATGAAGTAATTTGCTCCCCACAACTCAATTTTTGTTTCCATCTCTCAGGGCCTGAGGCAGGGAGGTGTCCCTGATTGCCAGGCCTGGAGAGGAATTGTTGTGTCTGCCCAAAATGGGAAAGCAGCAGCTCACACTGGATATGGAGTTTAGAGTTATGCACTAAAGAACTGCAGGATTACAAATATATTAAATACAAAAAAGCTAAAATCCTAAGGCATTGAATGGGCAGGGGAAGCTGCAGCTGCTCTGAGCATCGTTGGGGGCTGTGGAGCCCTGATGCCTTCAGATTTTAACCTTTATAATTTATTTTAACCTTTATCATTTTCAATCCTGTACTGCATTAGTGTCTAACTCTAAACTCCAAATAAAGGGTTAACTACCACCTTCACATTTTGGTCAGGCAAAACAATTCCTCTGGGCTTGGAACTCAAGGAGAAAAGGGTGAACAAAAGTGAATGAGGGAGAGGAACTGGGGGTATCTGACTTCATTACCTGGAGCTGGAATTGCAGAATTAACCCCTGATATGCAAATGGACCAGACTTATTTTAGTCTGAGAAACTCATGACCATCACTCATGTTGGGTGCAGCCTCTTCTGAGTGCCCAAGGTGTATCTATTGAGGGCCTTTAATAAATACCTACTCTTATTCTCTTAGTCTTGTCCAGCCCCTGTGATGCTTAGAGACTGGACAGAGCTAAAAGAATAAAACAGGTAATTATTGAAAAGCCTTTAAAGGATACAAGAGCCTGGCCAGGGCTACACCCAGGATGGATCCAAGATGGGTCCCATATAAGTTTTGGTCCATTTCCATATTGGGGTTAATTGTCCAGTTACAGCTTCAGGTCATCAAGTCCCCACCCTCTGGTCTGCTCCCCTCAATTCACCATTGTTTGTGCTTTTTGGTCCTTGATTCTCCAGCTGGAAAAGGATTCTTTTGTCTAACTGCCCTGTTTGAAAACTAGATATAGTTTATATCAGAATATATTTTCAATAAAGTATTACTTATGTTCTAGTGTTATCATTTCCAATATTTCTGTTTTGCTTTTACAACTGTACTTTGGAGCATTTTCTGATTCTATTGGACTGTATTTTTCAGTTGAGTCTTATTTTGAAAGTGTAAGTTATGTTAGGCTTCAGAAAGGAATGTTGGGGGATCAGCCTGGCCCAGGAAGAGGAACTTGCTGCAATAATTTGTAAAGACTGAAAAGGTGATGCATGTGTAGTGAAAGCCAATGTAGATGATTCTGCAGTGATTAGGACAGAATATGAAGGAGATGCTGCTTTAGAGGGAAAATGATAGATGATAAAAGTGTTGAGAAAAGGTCAGGAATTCTAAAGGAATTGAATGTGTCAGGCAGCACTGACAGAACCAGAGGACACAGTCTTAAGCTGCACCAAGGGAAATTTAGGTTGGATGTTAGGAAAAAGTTTTTTACAGAGAAGAGTAATCAAGTTCTGGAATGGCTGCCTGGGGAGGTGGTGGAGTCACTATTCCTGTGTGTTTAAAACAAGACTGGATGTGGCAAAGAGGGGAGGAAAGGTATTTTATTGAAGGGAGAGTGACCCTAGGCAGGATTTCCTGTATTTGGGAGCAGATCCCATGGCCTCTCCATGCCTGCAGCCCCCCAGGAGAACTGCAAGCAGCCCCTGCATGGCACATGGATTGCTGGACAGAGCTGTGCTCCAGCAAAGGCAGTTCAGACAAAGTCCCTGTGTTCTGTGCTCCTCCCAGCTGGGTTTTGTAAGGCTGGGAGCAGAGCCTGAGGGTTAGGGATGAGTTGGACTCAATGATCTTAAAGATCTCTTCCAACCTGGTGATTCTGTGATTCTATGAAGAGAACTTACTAACACTTTATGGTGGTGTTGACAGGGGCCCCAGGATGAGGGAAGAGATGAGAATGTTGACTCCATGTCCCAGAAGGCTGATTTATTATTTTATGATATATATTATATTAAAACTATAGTAAAAGAATAGAAGAAGGGATTTCATCAGAAGGCTTGCAAGCAAAGGAAAAGAATGGAATAAATTACAAAATCCTGTGTCTGACCAGAGAGTCTGAGACAGCTGGGCTGTGATTGGCCATTAATTAGAAACAACCCCATGAGCCCAATCCCAGATGCACCTGTTGCATTCCACAGCAGCAGATAACCACTGGTTACATTTTGTTCCTGAGGCCTCTCAGCTTCTCAGGAGAAAAAAACCCTAAGGAAAGGATTTTCCATAAAGCAATGTCTGTGAGACAACACTTCATACAAAGCTTAGAGTCCCACACTGAGCCTGCACAGAATCCAAGAAACCCAAAAGCTAAAACTTAAGGGCAAGCACTGCAGGGCATCAGCCCTGAGTCCCACATACCTGTTTGCCCCGGGGTGAGAGCCCAGAGTCCCCTCCAATCCTGCCCAGGAGGTTGTACTCGCTCTCGCCGTGGCGGCACAGGTAGATGGTGCGCGGCTGGACGTGGATGTTCATCAGGTAATAGACAATTTTACTCTGGATGTAATCCTGCACTCTGTTCACCAGGAACCGCTGGCCCACGTTGATCACTTTAATGAAGGACAGATCTCTGGAAGGGATATAAAATAAAAACACCCACGTGGTGGTTTGTTTGAAGTAATAGACAATTTTACTCTGGATGCAGTCCTGTGTGACCGTGTGCACAGGGGTCTGAGGATGAGGGAAGAGATGAGGATCTGACTCCATGTTTCAGAAGGCTTGATTTATTATTTTATGATATATATTATATTAAAACTGTACTAAAATAATAGAAGAAAGGATTTCATCAGAAGGCTGGCTAAGAATAGCAAAAGAAGGAATGAATAACAAAGGCTTGTGGCTCAGACAGAGTCCAAGCCAGCTGGGCTGTGATTGGCCATTAATTAGAAACAATCACATGAGACCAATCCCAGATGCACCTGTTGCATTCCACAGCAGCAGATAAACATTGGTTACATTGGTTCCTGAGGTCTCTCAGCTTCTCAGGAGGAAAAAATCCTAAGGAAAGGATTTTTCATAAAAGATGTCTGTGCCAGTCCTGCACTTGGTTCATCAGGAACCCCTGCCCCACGTTGATCACTTTAATGAAGGAAAGATCTCTGGAGTGGATATAAAATAAAAACACCCACATGGTGGTTTGAAAAATGAGGCAGGAGTAGCTGTGGGAGTCGCCCAGCTACTGCTCCTCTAGGAAAGGCAGGACAGGCTCTGAACTGCTGGGCTTAAAAATCCTGCCCTGGGTGGGCACCCCTGGATCCCTGGAAGTGACCAAGGCCAGGCTGGACAGGGTTTGGAGCAGCCTGGGATAGTGGGAGGTGTCCCTGCCCATGTCTCTTAGAGATGGGCTCTGAGATCCCTTCCAACCCAAACCATCCTGTGATTCTGCAGCACACAGAGAAAAATCCCCTCAAATCTCACTTGGGACCTGTGATTCACCTGCACACAGCCACACCTGGGGAGGGCAGAGGTGTTGGAGCATCCTGACAGCAAAGCAGCTCCTGTGCCCAAGGACAAAGGGATGTGCCAAGGGATTTGCTTACTTGTCATAAGCATCCGGGTCCAGGGGCTGGTAGGTGACCTTGTAGCACTCAATCCTCTTCAGGAAATCATCCATCACATTCTCCCTGTGCCTCTCCGGGTAGTCAGGGCTGGAAACTTTCACCTCCTGCCCAACAGACATAGCGAGTTAAGCAAACTCAAGAGAGAACAAAAGATGACAAAACCACATTGTTTAACACTGCCCCGAGGAAAAACCTGCTCCTGGAGAGGAAACAAAGGGCAACTCTTATGGCACTAAAGTGGTTGGCCCTGACAGACACCCTGGCTCAGAGCTCTGCCCTCCCTTCCTCGCCAGCTCAGCTTCAAGGTCACCCATTCCCAGCTCCACTTGATTTCCACATTCTCACATAACGGCATCTCTGCCTTTTAATAAACCTGCAAATCCCAGCTGCTTATTGGGCAGGTGAAAGGCAAGAGGGAGGCGTTTGCAGAGATCCCCAGGAGCTCCCTGAGCCCGTGACCTTGCACTGAGCACCCAAACTCCCACAGCAGCCCAGCCTGGGAAGGGCAGCACCCACCAGGATATTGGCAGCGATGACCTCTGGATCATCACAGACAGACTCCACGAAAAACACCTAGGAAAAAAGCAAGGGAGCACATTTCAGAGCCAAAACTCCAGAGCTCCTGTGCCAGGGAGCCACAGCGACTGCAAATTAAGCACACAATTAATCACACACACAATTGAAGCACTACCTTGAAAGCATTTTCCTTAGCAAAGTTTAAGATCAGGTCCCGGCGCTCCCGAGTCGTGTTGGTCGCATCAAACACCTGGCAGAAAATGAGGAAGGAGCACTGAGCAAAGTTTATCTCAAGACTTTTAAGCCCCAAATCAGGTGCCCGAACACTCCAGGCAGCTTTGAACTGCCCTGATGTAAAACTATTTTTAGTGCAGAGGATCTTACAGCTATTTGCCCAGACTCCTCCAAGAGATAAGACTTCACATCTTCCAGAGCCACCAGGGCACAGCGTCTGCAGGACAGAAATAGGGATGGTCACAGCTGATGGAAAGCATTCCCACAGCAAAGGGAGGGGTTCAAACACCTCCCTCACAGCCCTGCACTGTCCTAAGAGCCCCAAAACTCTTGGGGCACCTCCTCTGTGACCTGACCCTTGCAGCCCCTGAGCTTTGTGCCACCCCAAACCCACACGCCCGTCCCTGGCAGGATCCCTGCACAGGCTGTGCTGTTCCTTCTCCCTTCCCCAGGGACTCTGGGTTATTTTCTGCTCCTCACACCCACAGCCTGCCAAAACTCCAGTGCCCCCAGCCCTGACAGAGACTCACTTGCGGATTTCCATGGCCTCTTTGTTGTCGTGCCTGAAGAAGTCGTAGGACTTGTAGGACTTGACTGCTTCACGCCGATACACCCCTAAATTAAACACTTCACACACGGGAGAGGGGAGGGTGAGGGCATTCCACTGGCAGGGAGGTCCCAGCACGGGGCAGGGGTGTCCCCACACACACACACCCACCTTTGGTGGGCACCCCGATCCAGTTGAGGTAGCGGGTGAGCTTTTTGGACATGTAGGTCTTGCCCCTGGCAGGCAGTCCGATCATCACGATCAGCGTCGGGGAGTTGGTCATGTAGGAAGCCCATGCTGTAAAAGAAAAACAAAAAAAAACCCCAAACCACCCCAAAACAGCATCAGGGGCGCTGGAGAGCACAAAGTGAGACCCAGCACGGCGTTATTCCATCTCCCGGTGGTTAAAGCACCTCCGAGCATCCCAGGACGGGCTCGCCTTGTGTCCTTGTCGTTAATGAGCTGCTGTGACCGCTCTGTGGTCTCCAGGTGTTTGCTCATGAGGCAGCACCGCTGCCTAATGGGGCTTTCAGTGTTAACAGCATTTACCGCCCGGGCAGCGCCGTCAAGGGCGAACCAAAGATGTTTTTAACAAAACGGTCACGTTCTCTCGGCGAACAGCCCGAGCAGGCTCCCAAAACGCCCGCGGAGAGGCGGATTTGGAGCGAAAAGCTCGGGATGGGGATGGATGCAGCAGCATCCAGGAGGTTGGGGACAGGGGAAGCGAGGGAGGGGACAGCCAGGACAGGCAGCAGGATGGGATCCGGGCGGGAGGGGACAGCCAGGGACAGGCAGCAGGATGGGATCCGGGCGGGAGGGGACAGGCAGGGCAGGCAGCAGGATGGGATCCGGGCGGGAAGGGACAGCCAGGGACAGGCAGCAGGATGGGATCCGGGAGGGAGGGGACAGCCAGGGACAGGCAGCAGGATGGGATCCGGGCGGGAGGGGACAGCCAGGGCAGGGCTCCGCGCGGGACGGACGCGAGGCTCGGGGCGAACGCGCAGCCCTCTCCCCCTCCCGGTACCGGTGCCGTTCCTTTCCGGGCCGGGGATACTCACAGCACTGCTTCTCGCCGGCCCTGCCCCGCGGGGCCCCGCCGCAGCCCCGCGGCGCCGCCGACATGGCTCCGCTCCGCCGCCCCGCCGCATGCAAATCGCATGCAAATGAGCGGCGGGGCTCGCGCACGGCGGAGCAGCGGGGAACGGAAACCGGGGACCGAACACGCGGGAAAAGGGGCGCGGAGGGGCGGGAAAAGCGGCCCGCGTCACGCGCGCGGGGGCGCGCGCTGTATGCAAATGAGACCGGGAGGGAGGGGCAACTGTTCGCTGTATGCAAATGAACCGGGAGGGAGGGAGAGCTGTGCGCTGTATGCAAATGAATCAGGAGGGCGGGGCAGCCGCGTGCTGTATGCAAATAAGACCTGGAGGGCGGGGCAACCCTTCGCTGTATGCAAATAAGACCGGGAGGGAGGTGGGAGGGGAGAGAGGGGAAGCGGAGCACGCGCGCCATGCAAATGAGATGGACGGTGATGAAAGGGGAGTGGAGCTCGCGCCTCTATGCAAATCTAGGCGGGATATGTAAATCAAATGGGAGGTAATCATCGTGGAAGGGAGGGGACAGCAAATCACGGCGACACCTCGCGTTACGCAAATGAGATGGCAAGGAGGTGTCCGGCTGCATGTAAATTAAGTGGGCGGTGTCACCTGCTGTATGCAAATCAGACACCCAGCGTGCCGTACCGACGACGTGGGCTCTATGCAAATGAGCCAGGCGCTATGCAAATGACCGGGCGCCGCGCGCGCTCTGATTGGCCGCTTGCTGGGGCTGCGGGGGGGTGGGGCTTGGCGTGCTCTCGCGAGAGCGGGGCAGACACGGGCCGGAAGCGGAAGCGGCGGCGGCCGGTGCGGCGGCGGCCCCGAGGATGCTGCGGCTGCGCTGCAAGGCCCGGAGCGGCTCGCACGCGCTGCCGGGGCTGTCGCCGCACTCCCGCCTCCGCGACATGCAGGCCGCGCTCGCCGCGCTCACCGGAGTGCCCGCGCCCGCACAGCGCCTCCTGCTCGGCTTCCCGCCGCGGAGCCTCGACCTCAGCGACGGCGAGCGGCGGCTGGGCGAGCTCGGCATCCACTCGGGTGAGGGCCCCGCGGGGAGGAGGGCGGCGGGCGGCGCTCTGAGGGCTCTGCCGCCCCGCCGGCTGCAATTACGTTGATTAAAGAGGCCGTGGCACACACACCCCTCATCAACCGGCGGTCGGGCCGGTTCCTGCTGCCGTGGGAGGCGTCAGCGCCCGGCTCGGCAGCGCTTCCTGCTCGCTGCGGGCGCCGCCGGTGCTTTGGCTGCGTCCCGGGGGTCCGGAGGGAGAAGCGCGCGGGGCTGGAGGGGACGGGGTCCGGGCCAGGCCAGGTGAGTCCCGCGGGGACCGTTGTGGTGCCGGCGGCTGTTGGGCGAGGCTGTTTCCCGGCGGGATACCGAGCTGGGGGAAACGGGCGAGGTGTGCGAGGCCGGGTTGGACAGAGCTTGGAGCAGCCTGGGCTGGTGGAAAGTGTCCCTGCCCCTGCCAGGGGTGGGACTGGGTGGTGTTTAAGACCCCAGATTATTCTGTGATTCTCTTCTGTGACCCTCAGCAATGTCAGCCGTGTTGTTGTGTTGGAGGAGCAATTCTCCTTTAATTTAGTTCTCCCCTTTATGTCCCTCCTCCTGTGCGGCAGGTGACACTCTGATAGTGGAAGAGGACACATCCAAACCCGAGCCCGGCTCGCCGGTGATCGCCAAAAAAGCGATGTCCCAGCCTGTGAGGGAAGCCGTGCCCGTGCTGGTCAGGAGGGTGGTGCCAGCAGACAATTCCTGCCTGTTCACCAGCGTGTTCTACGTGGTGGAGGGCGGCGTGTACGACCCGGGCTGCGCCCCGGAGATGCGCAACCTCATCGCCCAGATCGTGGCCAGCGACCCCGAGTCGTACTGCGAGGCCGTGCTGGGCAAAACCAACAGGGAATACTGTGACTGGATCCGCAGGGAGGAGACCTGGGGAGGAGCCATCGAGGTCTCCATCCTCTCCAAGTTCTACCAGTGCGAGATCTGCGTGGTGGACACGCAGACCGTGCGCATCGACCGCTTCGGCGAGGACGCCGGCTACAGCAAGCGCGTGCTGCTCATCTACGATGGCATCCACTACGACCCCCTGGAGCGCCGCCTGCCCTCCTCGGACCTTCCTCCCCAGACCATCTTCCCCAGCAGCGATGACGTGGTGCTGGCACAGGCTCTGGAGCTGGCAGATGAAGCCCGCAGGAAGAGGCAGTTCACGGATGTGAATCGCTTCGCCCTGCGCTGCATGGTGTGCCAGAAGGGACTGACGGGGCAGCTGGAGGCCAGGGAGCACGCCAGGGAGACTGGACACACCAACTTCGGCGAGGTGTGAGCTCAGCAGCACGAGGAGGGTGCCATCGACTACCTCAGCGCTCTGGAATCAGATTCTGGAGTCCCAGATAAGCTGTTTGTAATCATAAAATTCCGTTCACATAGCTTGAAAAGCTTATTAACTAATTAACTAAATGAACTTCATGGTGGCCAACGCGCAGGTTTGGGAGTAGGGGATTGGGAGTAGGGATGGCACTTGGGCTGGTGGTGGACAGTGGCAGCCACACCTTGATTGCATCACCTTCTCTGTGTGTGTGTGTGAGTGAGCAGACAGGCACAGCCAGGCTTGTCCCACACTGCTGTAAAATCCTCAGCCAGGATTTTACACCAACACTGCTGTAAAATCCACCTCTGAGGTGCTGAGTGTGTGATCTGAGCAGACACACACAGCCAGGCCTGTGTAAAATCCACCTCTGAGGTGCTGAGTGTGTGATCTGAGCAGACACACACAGCCAGGCTTACCAACACTGCTGTAAAATCCACCTCTGAGGTGCTGAGTGTGTGATCTGAGCAGACACACACAGCCAGGCCTGTGTAAAATCCACCTCTGAGGTGCTGAGTGTGTGATCTGAGCAGACACACACAGCCAGGCCTGTGTAAAATCCACCTCTGAGGTGCTGAGTGTGTGATCTGAGCAGACACACACAGCCAGGCCTGTGTAAAATCCACCTCTGAGGTGCTGAATGTACATTTTCAGGGGAATTCAATTAACCTGAGGCTTTGGGAAACACACATATCAGCATCACTCACACTGAGAATTGGGCTCTGCACGTATGTGCAGCTCTCAGAGGGGAATCTGCTCGTGTGGTGCATGATTTATAATGGAAATACCAAGTGTGATATCAAAAATACAACTTGTAGTGGGAAAAGGATCTCTGAGCTGCCCTATACCATCAGGAATAGACTGTGTAGTTTGTGTGCAGAGAACTTTAGGGAAAGCTGTGGCCTCTAAGCTTTAAGGTAGCCTTTAAATTAATGAGTAGATGGATAAGTGTTGAATAAAACTTATTAATCCTCCGTAGGTAGTTTTTAGTTGCTTGAAAAATAACTCTCAACCCCCTGGTGTTTACACTGCATCAGAGCATAAGCATGTTGCCTGGAATACTTGGGATTCTTCTTCATAATAGCATTGGAAATTCCTGCAAGAGGGAAGTGAGTAGTTAGGGAAGTGACTTCATTTGCATCTGTTAAATGAATACATTGAATATTTTACTTGAGTAGAGCCAATTAAGGCCATGGTGTTACTAAGCTGTTCCAGTTTCCAAATACTGTGAATGAGCACTTTAAGGTTGAGTTCTCACTCTTTGCTGGTAAAAAGTTTTGCCCTCTGAAGGCCAGAGCCAGAAGGGAGGCTTGAAATTCCATCTGCTTTCTGCCTTAATGTGTTTGATTTCTCACCACTGACTTGTGGAGTAGCAAGACTTTCATTGTGATAATGAAATATCACAGCTGAATATTCAGATGAAAATAAGCTGGGGAAAGTGCCCCACTCCTTGGACTGTTCAGAATCAGGGAAGGTGAAATTGGTTTAATTGGAATTATTTTACCTCACAGTGGGGTTGTGAAGCTTAACAGCAAGTGCTTTTGAGGGCTTTTAAAAGGTGCTGTAAAGGTGCATATTACTGAAGGGGATTTATGTTGTGGTTTTATTTTTTCTTTGAAATGCCTGCAACACATCCTTATTTCTTGAATTTTAAAATATCCTTTGCCTGCCATTCTTCTGTTACTGTTTTGAGTGACCTTCCTTGCACTTTTAGACTGGGGAACAAGAAGGAGCATCCTCAGACTGAGGCAGAAATAAACCCACGTGGGTTTAACCTAAAACCCAGTTTGAAAGGGCTCTGTTCCCTCAGGCACCTGACCAAACTGGTGCAGCCACACCACCTTTTCTGCTCAAATCCTATTTCTAGCTCTCAGCAGAGGCTCCCAGTTGGATCTTGAAATACAGGAGGGTTGTACTGAAGAAAGAACATAATTACTTAAGTGCTTTGTTGAATTAAGGCATGAATAATTGAACAGCTCTAGGATCACCCAGAGCACTGTGGACTGGGTTTGTTTTTAATTCAGTATTAAAACACACATTAGCACTGTTGGGAGTTCCCTATAGAAAGCCACTTAGCTTCCAGTGTTAAACCCCACTCTGCTTTTAGCCTGTCATTAGGAAAAGAAGATAAAAACCCCCCAAAACCCAACATTAAACCCAGCCCTGTAGAAGCTGATGCTTAAAAACCTCCAGAAATACCTGACAGTTCAAAGGAGCTTGAAGATGACACTGTGTTATAACTACTTGAGCTGAAACACTGGCTAGGAACGAGACCAAGGGCCTGGCAAGGCCCAGGTGTGCTCTGAGCTGTCCCAGGGGAGCAGGGACATGCCTGGCACAAGGAGCTGATCCTCCCCCTTTGCCATCTGCCACATGGACACAATACCTACCTCAGAGAGGTGCACCAGGTGTCTTTGGAACACAAGTGGAAGATCCATATTTATTGTCTGCCTTGACTTTGGGGAGCAACCCTTAGATTTTAGCTTTGTGTCCTGGATGGATTTCTCAAAATGTGTGAAACCTTTTTTTTTTTTTTTTTCCTGGTATTTCTCAGTTGCAGTATTTGAAAAATGAGCTTTATTTAATCCAGAGTGTTTAGCTTTGCTAGATCATGTTTGCATTGGGAATCTGCTACCAGAGAATCAGTTCCCTTGGAGGGAGATGTGTCACTATCACTGCTTGGATGTTCTCTTTTGTTGCCTAGAAAAATAAAAATCTCTTTGGTTAAAAAAAAAGATATACCTGTAATTTGTGGTGCTAAAAGTTGATCTTGTTACAGGCTGACAAAGAACAACTCCTTGACTGCAAGAAAAATTTCTCCTTACTCTGCTAAACTTTCCCAAACAAAAAGTATCTCCATTCTTTAAAACATAAAAGGCTGGATAGTTTTAAAGTACAACTCTTTCTTTTAATAAATTAGAGTGTTTTTTAGTACTTTTTAACTAGGATTTTCCTGCTCTTAATGACACAGTCAGGGAATTATCCCAAAAATGGCATCCTTCTAGTGGTGGGATGAACTCTGAATATCAGAATGGGATGAGATGAGCTTCAAGATCCTTTCCACACCAAACCACTCTGGGATTCTGTGAAATGTGGTACCTGAGATATCAGGACTCAGCTGTAAAGGGAGTTTGACATCCCTCCAGAATCTTATATACAAATTATTAAACCAAATTCACATATATTTGTGGCCAGTATTACACAGATCTACTCCATGGATGAACAGACTGGAAGAGCAGTCTGGGGAGAAAATCAGCAATAACTGGAATTTCTGAAGGACAAACCTAAATTCTGAAGTTCTGAGCAAGATCCTCTCAAAAGAGCCCTGAGAAAAGGAACATCCTGTTCCATGGTACATCTCAAATCAGCCCTGGGCACAGTCACAGGGGGCCATGGTGACAGTTTGGGGACAGTGTCCTGTGCCCGTCCTGCTCTCCTGGAGAATATCCCAGCTCTGGAACTGGGATCAGTTCTGGAACCTCTCTGACCCCACAGTGCTGTGTTTGCCCTTCTTGGCAGGGGCTGAATGAGGAGAGCAGAAATTCTCTGCTGCTGTTGGAGCTTCTGAGCAATCAGACTGACACAGGCTGGGTGCTGAATCATCTGTGTGTGCCTGATTTCACTGCACAACCCACCCATGGGCCAGCCCTGGCAGCCTCTCCCTGCCAAGGAAACTCTCCAGAAGAGGAACTAAAAGTTGTCAACTTGCTGTTTGGAAAATTGCAGCTGCCATGCAATTAAATGTCTGCCTGCATTTGAAATCAAACTTTGCATCCAGCTCTGAAAGTGCTGTCAGGTTTGTTCCAAATAAAATTCCTTCCAATTGGGGAAATCACTCCTGCTGTTTCAGCTGTCTGAGCACCAACTCCCCCCTGAAACAGGAATACAACAGAGGAGTTAACAAAATCAGGTTGTCCAGGACCACAGTGACCTTGTCTATTATTTTTAATTAAAGTCTTGAGGAAAATGTTGGGGAGCTATTAAAGCTTGAGAGCTGCCTCCTCACTTCTGGTGTTAAAGGTAAGCAAGCTATGGGAGCACTTCAGCTCCCTTCTCCAGCTCCTTTCTGTGAAACAGAGATAACAAATAAATAAATAAATATCTAAATAATATTTATATAATAAATAAATATTAATAAATAAATAAAACCTTCTTTGGCCATAGGAAGGTTTGATGAGTGCTGTGCAACAGGAGGCATTAACTACATTCTCCGGCTCATTTATGTGAAACAGAGATAATAAATAAATAAATAAATAATATTTATATAATAAATATTAATTTAATAAATAAATAAAACCTTCTTTGGCCATAGGAAGGTTTGATGAGTGCTGTGCAACAGGAGGCATTAACTACATTCTCCGGCTCCTTTTTGTGAAACAGAGAAAATAAATATCTAAATAATGTTTATATAATAAATCAATATTAATTTAATAAATACATAAAACCTTCTTTGGCCATAGGAAGGTTTGATGAGTGCTGTGCAACAGGAGGCATTAACTACATTCTCCGGCTCATTTCTGTGAAACAGAGAAAATAAATACCTAAATAATGTTTATATAATAAATAAATATTAATTTAATAAATAAATAAAACCTTCTTTGGCCATAGGAAGGTTTGATGAGTGCTGTGCAACAGGAGGCATTAACTACATTCTCCAGCTCCTTTTTGTGAAACAAAGAAAATATTACATAAATAATGTTTATATAAATATTATATAAATTATGTTTATATAATAAATTTTTATTTAGTAAATAAGTAAAACCTTCTTTGGCCATAGGAAGGTTTAATGAGTGCTGTGCAACAGGAGGCATTAACTAGGTGCAATTTTCCCTAACTGATTTGGCAGCAGACAGGCTGTGCCTGCAATTTGGGTGAAGGAAAGTGCCCAGGAGTCCCACAGAGTCACAAAAACCTCCTTACCTTGACAGGAATCTTATCAGTGACGCCTGTGGATGCTTCTCCTTCAGGGCCAGGCCTGAGTCACTTGTGCCTGGTGTTTAGGAACAGGGTGAGGCTCAGCAGGGCTGTGAGGCTGCCAAAGTCCTTCCAGGGCACTGGGAAGTTTTCTCTGCATCATTTGACTCCTGGCATATCCTTCATGCCATCTGTGTGAAATCACACCTTATTTTGGGTTGCAGCTATTTATATTTGTTGAAGGGAGAGGAATGTGGAAAAGGAACAGGTTCTTTCTGGGCTCCAGATTTCCCCTAATGGATCCTGACACTTTCCTGACCCACAGGGGCTGCAGGCAGCCAGCTCTGCCTGTTGGACTGCCCAGACTGGAGCCCTGCTGCTGTCAGACACCCCTGGCCCTTGCTGCTGCTCACTCACACCCTGCTGGCACTGCAAGAACAAAATCACCCCAGCTTTGCTTTCCTCCCTCCTCAGAGCAGCCTCAGCACGGGGCACAACTCGACAAAACCCACTCAGCTCTGAAGCTTCCACTTCAAATTAAAATTAATTCATTGAAATTTGAACAAAATCACCCCAGCTTTGCTTTCCTCCCTCCTCAGAGCAGCCTCAGCACCGGGCACAACTCGACAAAACCCACGCAGCTCTGAAGCTTCCACTTCAAATTTAAATTAATTCATTAAAATTTTGAGTTGTAGCTATTTGTATTTGTTGGAGGGAGAGGAATGTGGAAAAGGAACAGGTTGTTTTTGGGCTCCTGATTCAGAGGAGCTCCAGATTTCTCCTAATGGATCCTGACACTTTCCTGCCAGCTCTGCCTGTTGGACTGCCCAGACTGAGCCCTGCTGCTGCTCACTCACACCCTGCTGGCACTGCAAGAACAAAACCACCCCAGCTTTGCTTTCCTCCCTCCTCAGAGCAGCCTCAGCATGGGGCACAACTCGACAAAACCCACGCAGCTCTAAAGCTTCCACTTCAAATTAAAATTAATTCACTAAAAGCTGGGGAAACGGGGGTTTGGGACAGCAAACAGCTCAGGCAGCTGCTAGGGTGCATTAACCAAACCCACTTCATTAATTAATTAATACCATGTTTAAACTCACAGCTCCTGAAGCCCTGGCACCAATCCTGCCCTCAACCCCTGGTTGTGACAATGCTCCAGCAGCTCTGGCTGCATCCCCATCCCTCACCAGGGACATCACAAAGGGCTGGGGCTGGCTGGGGCTCTCAGCTTTGTGGATTTGCTCTGCAGCACATGTTCCCTTCTGGAACAGCACTTGGCTGGGCTCAGCACTGCCTGTGGAAGCCTCTGGGTCATCTGCTCTCCTTCCATCTTCCCCTGGCTTTAATTAGCTGATGTTTCCACTTCCCTGTTCTGTGGAGCAGGGAACATGTGTGGTAACAAATCCTTTTGCTAAAAATACCAGTAAAAAAAAAAAAAATCGTTGGAGCATGGAAATGTGAATGAATCCAGCAGCTGTGTCAGCCCTGGAAATTTCCTGCAGGGTGTTTGTAGATTTGCAGTGAGCAGCACCTTGTCAAGCAGGTACAAGTCCATGCTGTGTGTGGGGAATGGCCAAAGCATTGTTAATCAGCAGGGAAAGCTCCAATTTTAACAACAGAGCCCAAAGTCAGGGTAAGAAGGAGGCTCTGCTGTTCTCTGCCTGCCCCTGGGGGTCCGTGTCACCTGCACAGGGTGGGGACAGCTGGGCCCCTTTCTGGAGGAGGCAGCAGAGGTGGCACAAGGGGCTCAGGAGATGCTGCTGGAGAAATGCCCCAGCAGAGGCTCTGAGACAGTGTCAGTGTGAGGATGAGCCTGATGGGCATCTTGGGCATCTTCAGCTTTCACCAGCAGAGGTTCTGAGACAGTGTCAGTGTGAGGATGAGCCTGATGGGCATCTCAGGGGGCTTCAGCTTTCACCAGCAGAGGTTCTGAGAAGGTGAGGATGAGCCTGATGGGCATCTTGGGCATCTTCAGCTTTCATGAGCAGAGGCTCTGAGAAGGTTTCAGTGTGAGGATGAGCCTGATGGGCATCTTGGGCATCTTCAGCTTTCACCAGCAGAGGTTCTGAGACAGTGTCAGTGTGAGGATGAGCCTGATGGGCATCTCAGGGGGCTTCAGCTTTCACCAGCAGAGGTTCTGAGAAGGTGAGGATGAGCCTGATGGGCATCTTGGGCATTTCAGCTTTCATGAGCAGAGGTTCTGAGAAGGTGAGGATGAGCCTGATGGGCATCTCGGGGGGCTTCAGCAGAGGTTCTGAGAAGGTTTCAGTGTGAGGATGAGCCTGATGGGCATCTTGGGCATCTTCAGCTTTCATGAGCAGAGGTTCTGAGACAGTGTCAGTGTGAGGATGAGCCTGATGGGCATCTTGGGGGGCTTCAGCTTTCATGAGCAGAGGTTCTGAGAAGGTGAGGATGAGCCTGATGGGCATCTTGGGGGGCTTCAGCTTTCATGAGCAGAGGTTCTGAGAAGGTGAGGATGAGCCTGATGGGCATCTCGGGGCGCTTCAGCAGAGGTTCTGAGAAGGTTTCAGTGTGAGGATGAGCCTGATGGGCATCTTGGGGGGCTTCAGCTTTCACCAGAGCTCCAGGAGCTGCCTGTGGAAGGAGTCCCCAGCACGGGGAAGGAGCTTGCAGAGGGTTTTGGTGCCCACGGGGCACGGTGCCAACTGGGGCAAAAGCAGCTGCAGGTCGGGACAGGCAGCCGGAGCCGGGGAGCTGCGCAGACCTGGGCACGTCAATAAATCCGTGCCGAATCTTCCCTCCCCAAAACACTTTCTGCCTGTCTTTACAACCTCCTTCCTTTGCAAGCAGCAAACTTTTG